ACCTGAAGCTCCGGTGGCATGAATATGTGGATGCTATTACTCACGCCTACAACTGCACACAACACGACTCAACTGGTTACACACCATACTATCTCATGTTCGGCAGGCATTCCCAGCTGCCTGTTGATCTCATCTTTGGGCTCTCCACCAGCACTGAGCCATCTGAGTACAGTATTTCCAAACTCTGCATGACGATGTCATGATCTGTCACGGGCTTATGCTCAGGCCAACCAGATGTTTCGGCATGCTAAGAGCCAGCAGAAGAAATACTATGACCAAAAGGTAAGGACCAGTCCAGGGGACAGAGTCCAAGTCAAAGTGTGTCTTGTGGAGGGACGGCAGAAGCTTGGAGACAGATGGGAGCCTCGACCATATATTGTGGTGAAAAAGCAAAAGCATGTTCTGCAACCGGAAGATGGTCAAGCAGAAAGGGTGGTCCACCGTAACCTCCTCACACAGTTTATGTTTCTTCCAGTTGACCAGGTGGACGAAGCAAGATGGGTGGTCGAGCAGGGTTTGGATACAGGAGATGTTGGCATGGAGCCGGATGCAGCCGTGGACTTAGAAGTGGGTGATATGGAGGATAAGGTGGAGAGAAGACGAGGCAAGGCAAATGAGTGACGAGGAGGCAGATGGAACTGTCAGCAGTGCTGGTGCATCTCAAGGTCTCATTCCTCCTAGGAGAAATCCCCCAAGAAATCCATTTATCCTTTTTTGAACCAGGCTCCTCCCTCGAGGCCATGGGAGACCCTACCAGGAGCACCAGGCTCCAAACAACACAGCCTTCAGGTTCATAGGGACACACAAACCTCTCCACCACGATAAGGTGATGGTTCCCAGAGAGGTTCCACCTGTATGACGGAAGATTTAATCTTGAGAGTGGAATGCGCAGAAATGATAGGGTCAGGACATCAAGTGAAGGGAATAGAAAGCTGTAGGAGCTATATACTGTAGGAGTGTTTTGAAAAAAAACTCCATCTGGTCAGATGAGAGTGTCTAGGGAACGACCCAGTTGGATAGCATCTCAAGAAGTCGTGACTAGCTGTGGTGTTAGTTGAAAATGATGGCTGGAAAGAGAAGTAAGAAAAACAGTCAGCAATTTAGTTTTCGTGACGGATGTGGGAGGCTTGGATAATGAATGGGTCTGTCATTTGTTCCCAATGTCTAAAATGGTGCTGTTGTCAGAGTAGATGGCAATGGTTTTCTTGGACCATTGGAATGGCTGCTATGATGACTGGGTACATTTCATAGATTGTGGTGGAAGTGAGGGAATTTGGGCAGCCATTTTGGCTGACTACCAACACCCGCCGTAGTAGACACCAAAGCTGACAGAAGGGGAAACGTCTGTGAAGGGACAGTTAAGTTGTAAGGAGATGAGAGGTCTATAATTTGTCTCTTTTTTTCCTAATATTTTCTAGTAGCTATGCCAATTGGACTGATTCTGGACGTGGGGAGAGGTGGACTGGCAAATGGGCCGATCAAGAATGTTTCTTTGACTTCTTTATCAAGGGGTTTATTGACTATGTTGGGATCAGTGATGGCTGACTGCTAGTTGTGGCATGTGTAGAAGGAAACTGGTATGACTTGCAAGCCTGGGTGGAAGCCTTGTGTGTCAGGAATCTATGCTGGAACCAAATTACAGGCTGGAGAAAGACAGGTAAAGTTAAAGTAATTTATTGAAGAAGGCAAGGCAAGGCAAGTTTATTTGTATAGCACATTTCAACAACAAGGTAATTCAAAGTGCTTTACATAACACAAAAGCAACAGGGAAATATAAAACATTTTAAAAGCAACATAAGGGAATTGGAAAAAATACACATTAAAACTTAATAAAATCAGGGTTAAAAGAGTTAAATGGAAAATAAAAACAGGCTGAGGGGTTGAGGAAATAATTGAGTTACAATTATTTTGAAAAGAGAATAAACAGAGAGGTACACTTAATCTACTCTCTCTAGCTAGTCTGTACTCGGGTCCATAGCAATCTTTGGGTCCACTGAAACTCCAAAAACCCTCGGACACTACAGAGAAACCAGGACATGTCTGTCCGCAGGCCACTCTGATCCAGTTATACTATGGACCCACCTGCGCGTTTACAGGTGGACAGAGGTTCCTGCAAATCACTCAGGCGCAAGATTTAAGACCACTTCCTTCACTCTGTTCAATCTCACTCTCATTATCTTTTCACTCAATTACCTACTCATTTCTCACTGTGTAAATATTTAATTAAAAGCAATGGTAAAAAGCTAAAAACAAAGAAAAAGAAAACAGGCCAGTAACAGTTACAGTGCAGTGTAAGTTATCAATCTACTAGTTAAAGGCAGTGGTAAAAAAAAAAAATCTTAAATATTTAATTAAAAGCAATTGTAAAAAGTCTTCAGTCTTAATTTAAAAGAACTGACAGTTTCAGCAGACCTGCAGTTATCTGGGAGTTTTTTCCAGATATACGGAGCATAATAACTGAACGCTGCTTCTCCTTGTTTAGATTTGACTCTGGTGACAGAAAGCAAACCTGCCCCAGACGACCTGAGAGGTCTGGATGGTACATAACAAAGCAGAAGATCAGAAATGTATTTTGGCCCTAAACCATAGTGCTTTATAAACCAAATCAAATGAAATCAATTATTTGACATACAGGAAGCCAATTTAAAGACCTCAGAATTGGAGTGATGTGATCCACCTTTTTGGTCTTCGTGAGGACTCGAGCAGCAGCGTTCTGAATCAGCTGCGGCTTCTTAGGGAGCCCTGTAAGTCAACTGAAAATAAATGCATGGATAAGTTTTTCCAGTTCTTGCTGAGACATAAGTCCTTTAATCCGTGATATATTCTTCAAGTGATAGTATGCTGACTTTGTAATTGTCTTAATGTGGCTCCTCAAATTCAGGTCTGAGTCCATGACTACACCAAGATTTCTGGCTTGATTTGTGGTTCTTGGTTTCTGTGATTGAAGCTGAGCACTGACTTTCAATTGTTCCTCCCTGGCTCCAAAAACAATAACTTCAGTTTTATCCTTGTTTAATTGAAGAAAATTCTGGCACATCCAATCGTTGACCTGCTCAATACAGTTACTCAGCACCCATATGGGATCATAGTCCCCTGGTGAAATGGTTATGTAAATCTGTGTGTCATCTGCATAATTATGGTAATATATTTTGTTTGTTTGTTTTTCATAATCTGAGCCAGTGGAAGCATGTAAATGTTAAACAAAAGAGGCCCCAGAATGGAGCCTTGGGGAACTCCACATGTCATTTTTGTCAGCTCAGATGTGTGATTACCTATAGACACAAAGTAGTTCCTGTCCTTTAAGTAGGATTCAAACCAGTTTGGTACTGTGCTAGAAAGTTCAACCCAGTTTTCGAGTCTGTTGAGTAATATGTTGTGGTTGACCATGTCGAATGCAGCACTGAGATCCATTAATACTAAGACTGAAATTCTGCCACTGTCAGTGTTTAAATGGAAGAACATGTTAGTGACGAGAGGGGCTGGGGATTTGGGGGCTGAAATCCAGACTGTGTCTTGACAGAGTGAGCTGGCAAATTTGGCTGCCCAATACCCAACCATGTTTTATAAATGAGTAATTGTTTACATTGTTTACAATGTATGTATTTATTTTATTTATATTTGTTAATAATATTGAGCTGTACTTCAGTGTGTGCAGCATAAATGATCATTCGTGTCTAATTTCTTAACCTACGCTTTGCACATTTTCGAGTGGCCTTTTATTGTGGCCAGGCACACCTGTGCAAAACCCATGCTGTCTGATCAGCATCTTGATATCCCACTCCTGTGAGGTGGATGGGTTATCTCGGCAAAGGAGAAGTGCTCACAAAGATTTTAACAGATTTGTGAACAATATTTATGAAAAATAGGCCTTTTGTGATGAATGGGGGCAAAAACAAAAGTGTTGCATTTAGAATTTTGTTCAGTGTAGTTGGCTAGTGTGAACGCCATTTTATATTATATTACTAGGGCTGGGCACCTTAACACGTTATCGTGTAAATGCATTAATTAATGCCAACAATTATTTTATCTCACGTTAACGCAGTTTATATTATTATTATTAATTTTTTATTTTATTTTTATTTTTTTAGTTTCTCACTGGCTCTGAATACATATACAGTCAAACCATGGGTCACATGAGTGGTGGGATTTGGATCAGCTTGCAAATCACAGCAGTGGAGAGTAGTGGAGAGTGGCTTCAGCAGACAACATTGGATGCAGCGTGTGGGAGAAGTGGATCAAGAAAACATGTCTGTCACTTTTTTCCTGTTAACATCTTGACTTCTTCACTGGTTGTGACATACTGTAAGTGTAGTTCTAATACAGTAACAAAAGATGTGAGAGCAAAGATTTTGCAAGCGTAAGCTACGCATACCCTGGGGGCTAAGTCTTTCAATCCTAGTGACATCACTGACACACACACACACCAACACACACACACACACACACACACACTTCTCTCTTTGTTGGAGAGATGCTTGGTTACAGTAGCCTACTGACCTGGTTTTTATGAACCTGTAAATTTAAGTACTCAAGATACTTCAACATGTTTTCTATGTCATGAAATAGTCAGCAAACAAAGTATTAAAGATTGCCTTTTATTGAAATCAAGTTGCCTTAATGTGCATAATGTATTTTCACCAGTACCCATAGACCATAAAGGGACACGCCACCAATTTTACACATGAAGATGACTGATACTGAAGACTAATATCTCGGCTTCAATTTTGAATGATATGTTCTTGTACTTTTTCACTGACTTGCAACATTGTACAATTGCAGTACTAATTCGCTGGAGTGCCCCTTTACTTTGAACATAACTTCATTAGTGATGAAAATATATTCACATATCTTTTAATACTTCTTGCCAAAACGAACTTTTACAATTCTTAAAAAAAGACATTTGAAAAATGATTAAAGGAACCTTAAAAAGCTAGTTCATAAGATTTTACCAAAAATATATATTAAGAAGAATAAACTGGATTGAAATCAGTGTTTTATGTGAAATACGACTGATCAATAAGAAACTGGTTAACAGGTAGCTTACTACAACGTTATTGTTATTCCTCTACTCTGCTTCATTTCTAGACAGAACATTGAAATAATTTCAACATAATCCATGCAGAAATAAGTTCAGAGTCCCTCCACTCATTTAGTAAATATATATCATATCATTGTATCGTATAAGCATCATACACACGGTGTATCATTTTACATCCAATACAGCTACTTTATTGTTATAGAATAAAGCCATAATCCTCTGCCTGACCTCTTTCATTTGCAACCCATAGATAACAGCATTCAGGGAAGGCAAGGCAACATGTCCCAGTACAGCCGCCACTTTCCTGTGGTCTGACAGCTGAGGGAAACGGTGCAGGATCACAATGATGAAGCCAGACACCTGCAGGATGATAAACACAGCCAAGTGAGTTGCGCAGGTCTGCAGCGCTTTGCTGTTCAGCACCCTGTTTTTACTGCGCACACACACTGAAGCAATTTTCAGGTAGGTGAGAAAAACGCTGCCAATGGAGGAGCCCAGCAGGACAACCGTGTAGCCGAGGCCGTAGATGTTATTAATGAACACATTTTCACAGGACAGCTTGAACAAGGAGGCATTATCGCAGAACAAGTTCAATATAACTGACCTGCAGCGTGACAGACGGACGCTGAGGCCTATGAGGATCGCTACCAGCACAAAGGCTGCTCCCCAGGCCCACACCGACAGCATCACCACCATCCTGGTGGTCATGATGGTGGCATAACACAGAGGGTTGCAGATGGCTATGTAGCGATCAAATGCCATGATCATGAGCACAGTGTGAGAGGCACTTGCATGCAGATGAACAAAAAAGGCCTGAATGGCACAGTCACTGTATTGAATGTACCGCTCTGAGTTTGACATTAAAAGATCTCTGAGTACAGGAGGTATAACTACCGTGGCCCCCAAAACATCATTAATGCTCATGTTGCAGAGCAGCAGATACATGGGCTGCTGGAGGCTCCTCTCCATGAAGGTCAGGATAACCAGGCCGATGTTGGACACCATAATGAAGATGTAGATGAGGAGGAGGAAGACAAATGCAGGAATGGAGGAGTCGGCGCTGACCATTAACCCCTCCAGGATTAGAATATCCCCACTGAAAGTCTGGTTTTCCATTTGTCATCGGTCACGTAGCAATGAAAATGTCTGTGTGGATAACAACTGAGCTGCCCACAGATATAGTTAAAGAGTTACAGTAACAGAAAAGCAACGAGATTTCACAATGAATCTATATAAATAACCTAATGAAGTTATAGTGAATTAAAATAATTCCACATTATAATGACACGTTGTAATCTGACACAGACTTTAGTTAGTCTGAAGTTAATACACAGGCATCAAAATATGAAGTCACGTGTGTTTGTTTTCAGCCTAATTAATATAATTAAACAGTGATTAAAATATTTCTTCACTTAAAATGGCAATAAGAAATTTTAAAAAATGTGACAGGTATTTTACAACGACTCTATATAAATAACATAATGAAGTTCCTCTGAACTGTTATTCTGAATTTGTTGACATGCATCCAAGTGAAGTAACAACTGTGTACCATTTCAGCCTGATTGATTAAAGAGTTGGTTTGCCTGAATTACATATTAGAATAAAAAAACATTACAAAAATGTCCCCAGTTAGGCTGTGAACCGTTTTCACTGGAATTAATTTCTACAAAAGAAGACAGTGTTTGTCAATCCAGAGTAACAGGGACAGGTCAAGTCAATTTAATTTTTATAGCCCAACATCAGAAATTTGCCTCAAGAAGCGTTACAGTCTTAACAGCATCTACAGACTTCCTCTGTCCTTAGACCCTCGATTCAGCTAAAGAAAAACCTTAAAAACCTTTTTGCAGAACGAAAATGGATGAAACCTCAGAAAGAGAGGAAGGATCCGTCTTCCAGGACCGACAGATACAATGCTGTCCGTGCTGGGAGCAGCACAAATTCCATTCAACTCCAATGTATTGGAGTGAAAGCACAAAACATGGCAAATAAAATTAATATTTGGGTGAACCACCTTTCTTTAAAAAGCTGGAAGATAATTAAGTGTAAAGTTTTGTGCTCAGTAGTAAATTAGATTCGATTTCTTTCTGAACACATGGTAACCTCCATTTAAGTGAGAAGTATTTTATAAGCTGCTGCAGCAAATTAAAGATATATTCTTCTCAACAGCATAACGTAACTTCTATTTAGCATACAGTTAAATTACATTTAGATAAACACAGCTTCTAATGACTGGAATACCCAGTGAGGCAGGGGCTGAGGATATTTCAGTGTCTGTCAGCATTCCTGCGACACAAACCTCCCTCCAACCCCAGACCAGAAGGGAAACCGCTTTTTATTTGGTCCCTAAGTGGCCATCAGCTGCAGCATCACCTGCTGACAGGTCAACTGCTGCTTGGCAGCTGTTGATGCTCAGTACCCAGCATCATCATGTGTATCTCCGGTAGGTTTATTTAAAATCTTCTAACTCTTGGCATAAAGAGTATATTTAAATGCAATATTTCACAAAAGTGAGTACACCCCTCACATTTTAGTAAATATTTGATTCTATCTTTTCATGTTTCAACACTGAAGAAATGACACTTTGCTACAGTGTAAAGTAGTGAGTGTCCAGCTTGTATAACAGTGTAAATTTGCTGTCCCCTCAAAATAACACATCACACAGCTGTTAATGTCTAAACCGCTGGCAACAAAAGTGAGGACACCTTTAAGTGAAAATGTCCAAATAGGGCACAGATTGTCAATATCGTTTGTGGCCACCATTATTTTCCACCACTGCCTTTACCCTCTTGGGCATGGGGTTCACCAGAGATTCACGGGCCTCATGGCCGACATGCTGACTGATAGAGTTAACCAATCGACATGCATACAATCAATAACCTTAGGCTTTAAGTTTCGGAACACGCCCTGTGATGACTAGGGTAAGGGTAATATGCTTCGGGGGGGCTGTCAAGAATAGTTAGCTAGCTAACTTGTTGGTCAGCTCCCCCAGGCCCAGTGACACAGGCCACAGCAGCCAACACAGCAGACGTGTCCAGCAACAGCTGAACGATACTGTTAATGTTCGTACCGCTGTTCGTGCCAGATTCATTAAATCATTAAATTCTCAGTAATGTTGTAAAGTTTTAACCTAAATCGAGAGACATCTGGCTCGTGGGGTACAGAACATTCTTGGCTTGTGAAATTTAAAATCACTTGGGAAAAAATAAAAACTAAAGACTTAAGTATACTGAATACTATGTTAATATTTACCTTATTTAACAACCGTTAACGGCTCTGCGTGGCCCGAGCACCCGAGATAAATGTCATCACGTTTTGTGCGCGGTGGCTTCTGGGACGAGCCATTTATGGAAGTTCAACTTCCGTCACATTTGTCTGCGGACTGTTGCTGAACCCTTCTCGAGGTCAGCAATGACCGCTCTCATTCATCAAAAATGTGTCTACACAACAAGACAACCATCCTTTAACAGTTTTCTGACAGCGGAATAAAATATTACTGTGAGTAATGCAACAGTAAGGAGCAGCACAGCGAGCTGTTAGATAAAGAGCTGCTCACCTCCACCCTCTCAGCCAAGTAACCAACTCCTTTCACTTTCGCTTTTTGCAGATTCATGTTGTGTGCAGCATAAAGTCAGATCATGACTGCTCACAGAATTATGGAAAATACCAATATTGCCAGACAATAGTTTGTTTAGCTGCCCCAGACTTCTGTGCCCTGTGATATTAAAAGGCATCTGTTACCACCAGTAACTACAGGTGACTCATGCCCAATAACAGCAAAGCTGCATAATAGCATCAAAACCGATTAATTAATGCCAATCAGAGTTACATTTACAATTACAGATTTTAACCATCACTCCTCGGTGAACTCCTTGGCTGCGGTCTAAGAGCATTTTCGAGTTAAGTAGGCCTGTGTAGATTTATCATTATGGATTTAGCCTACCATGTTTTACTGGAGTCTGTTCACATTGATATAAACTGATAAAAACGTTCATTTTGCGAAAGTTGAAAATATTAAACAGTAATATGGCAATTATTTTTGAAAGTCTGGCCCCCACAGTGTCTGCTTATAAAAACTGGTACCCAGGAACAATGTAGTTGAGGACCCCTGATGTAGAGGTCAGTACTTCCATTGGTGGTTAAAAATAATTTTTCATATTTTGGTAAGATGCTTTGCTCCAAATAGTCAAAAAGACATCAGTGCATGACAATGTTTGTTGGCATTAGCAACTTGCTGGGAACTAGTTATTTATTATACTAACGCTTATGATGTCTCAATAAAAGTACCACCTGTTTGAATGTAAATAGCAATATGACTTCATACACAGGCCAGTGTTTCCCATTCTGACAGTCCAGTGCGACCCGCAAGAGTCTAATCTGTTTCCTAATGAAGTGATCATTATAACATGAAAAGTCACTGTTTATCGCCATTGATTAGGCAAAGTATCTGTCAAATTAAAATCAAAAGCGCCATATGGCTCTGTTCCCTTATCAAATCGCAAAAGACTGCAATTTAATTAAATAGGTAAAACAAAAGTAGTAAGTAAGATATAAAATCAATATGAAAAAAGTTATTTTAGGAGGTTAAAAAGTAACTAAGTAACTTTTACTTTAGTAAATTTTAAAGGAGCTATTTTTTACTTTTACTTGATGTTTATACTGGTAACTTTACTTGTACTTAAGTAAAAGTTCATCAAAGTAATCGTACTTTCACTTCTGTCCAGGACCTTGCTGGACACCCGTACAGGACACCATTGTAGTAGTCCAAGTGGGAGGTGATGAAGGCATGTGTGAATGACTCACAAAGTGTAAGAGTGACTCTGAGGTGACATAAAGTGAAGGTCGAAGTCTGGAGATGTTCTGGAGGTGGTAGAAGGCAGACTTGGTAATGAGATGTGACTTTAATGAGAGGGTAGAGTCCAAAATGACACCAAGGTTTCATACTTCTTAGGATGGGGAGATGGAGCAATCTACTTTGAGGAGTAGATCTCCTATCCTACAGCAATAGCCAACAACACTACTCCTCCAACTACCAATAACCAACCAACATACCAACACCACCACTCCTCCACCTACCAGCACCTAGCCAAAATACTGCTAATCCAACAACCACCTAAAATACTGCTCCTCCGCCTACCAGCACCCAGCCATCAATACTGTTCCTCCACCTGCCAGCACCCAGACAAAATACTGCTAATCCAACAACCAGCCAAAACACTGCTCCTCCACCTACCAGCAGCCAGCCATCAATACTGTTCCTCCACCTGCCAGCACCCAGCCAAAATACTGCTCCTCTGCCTACCAGCAACCAGCCATCAATACTGTTCCTCCACCTGCCAGCACCCAGCCAAAATACTGCTAATCCAACAACCAGCCAAAACACTGCTCCTCCAATTACCAGCAGCCAGCCAACATCCAACAACCAGCCAAAACACTGCTCCTCCACCTACCAGCAGCCAGCCAAAAGCCAGCAACTAGCCAACAATACTGCTCCATCACCTACCAGCAACGAGCCATCAATACTGCTAATCCAACAACCAGCCAAAACACTGCTCCTCCACCTGCCAGCAGTCATCCAACATCCACAACGAGTCATCAATACTGCTCCTCCACCTACCAGAAACCAGCCAAAACACTGCTCCTCCACCTGCCAGCAGTCAGCCAACATCCAGAAACCAGCCAACACACTGCCAACTAAAGCATAAGACTAAGAACTAAGGCAAAGAACTAAAACGCAGGACTAAACGAAGAAATAAGATAAGAGACAAGACAGATATTAAGAAAACAAAGTTCGAGGACTAAAACTGGAACCAGATGAAACCATGGTATCCTATGACGTGACTTCTTTGTTCACCTGCATCCCCACCTTTGAAGCAGTTGAAACCGTAAGGAAACGGCTAACACAAGACCACACCCTGGACAACAGAACTAGACTCAGCCCTGACCAGATCTGTAAATTACTCGACCTCTATCTAAACACCACCTACTTCCAGTACAACGGAGGATTCTACAGACAGAAGCATGGCTGTGCCATGGGCTCACTGGTATCCCTGATTGTGGCAAACATCTACATGGAAGAAGTTGAGAACAAAGCCCTCAACTCCTTCAGAGGAACAGCACCGAGCCACTGGTACAGATATGTGGACGACACCTGGGTCAGAATTAAAAGCCAGGAAGTGCAAGCCTTCACAGAACACATCCACTCTGTGGACAGTAACATCAAGTTCACACGAGAAGATGTTCACAACTACAGTTTGGCCTTCCTGGACTGCGCTGTACACATTGAAGAGGACAGGAGCCTGCAGATTGGTGTTTACAGAAAACCCACACACACAGACCAACACCTACTGTTCGATTCCCACCACCCACTGGAGCACAAGCTAGGGGTCATGAGAACACTGCACCACAGAGCGGAAAACATACCAACAAGCGCCCAAGCCAGAGAGAAGGAACAGAACCACCTGAAGGGGGCACTTACAGCCTGTGGGTACCCTAAATCAGTGGTTCTTAACCTGGGGGTCGGCACCCCCCAGGGGGTCGCGAGAATGCTAATACAGACACAAAAATATAATAATAATAACTTAAAAATAACTAGACGGACTACAGATGTGAATGGAATAACTTTGGGTGGACACTGTAAATATTTTGCACTGTCCAGTAGTTGGCGGTAATGCCAACCGCTATAAAATGACAAAGAAGAATCAGGCCACGATCAAACAGAAAACGCTTTGCAGGTTCGAAAATGCGAGGCTCACAGCAATGCCTTTTTGGTTGAATTTACAAAAGAGCAAAGCGCTGCGTTTTTTTTAATGTTGCAAGGCAACCACCAAAACAGCTGTCCTGTCCTGCCTTATCAAAGATTATAGTGCCAGTGATCTGTAATCTTTTGTTTGCTGCTCTTTTGTTGCTAAAAACATCTGCTTTAATAAAAGAGTGGAGAGTGCATGCTCTGGCTTTCTTTTGAGTGTCTGAGGAGGAGACAGGGAAAGGGAGATATATGTGGCCACATGAGACCCTCAGAAAGGGGAGACACCGCTGATATTAGCCCACCAGTTGATCCAGGGGCTTCATCTTGATGACGGTCAGTCAGGGACAGACTGTTGCAGTCTCCGGACAATCCAAGCAACTGTAAACTTCCATCAGCGCAACTGAGGTCTCTCCATTCATTAGATTGGACAATGGAGAAAAATGCGGATGACGTTGGGCACGAGTTTAATTTTTTTCAACTCCGTGCGCTCGTGGCACGGCAGGTGGCCAAAATGTGAGGCGCCCAGGGCACATTAACAGCGTGCAGAACGCTCACTGCCAATAGAATACAATTTTAAAAAGGCATGAAACGCATTCTGTGTGATCCGCTGGGGGGGTCGCGAAATATTTTCAATTTCAGAAAAGGGGTCGCACTGCCAGAAAGGTTAAGAACAACTGCCCTAAATGGACCTTTGTGAAAACAGCCACAAGATCCAAGAAGAACCAAACTACAGGGGATGAAGAAAATAAGATCAAATGCAACAACATTGTGATTCCATACGTGTCTGGAGTATCAGAGAAACTCAGGAGGATTTTCAACAAACACAACATCCCTGTGTTTTTTAAACCCAAGACCACACTAAGACAGATACTTACACCCCAAAGACCAATGCAGTCCAATGCAGTGAGGAATGCACAGACCTGTATATTGGGGAGACTAAACAACCACTACACAAACGCATGGCTCAACACAGAAGGGCCAACTCCTCAGGTCAAGACTCTGCAGTCTACTTACATCTGAAGGACAGAGGACACTCGTTTGAGGACCACCAGGTGCACATTTTAGACAGAGAAGATGGATGGTTTGAAAGAGGTGTCAAGGAAGCATCTACACCAGGGTGGAGAAGCCGTCCTTGAACAGGGGAGGGGGTCTACGCCACCACTTATCCCCCACTTACAATGCTGTCCTTTCATCACTTCCCAGGAAACTCAACAAACGTAACCTATTGGCCTCAGGTGAAGACACCAACGATGGTCGTTCAGTCTTGGCCACAGGTAGTCTTAACGACCATAATGACTGTCGTTACAGCAACCAGGAACACTAACGAACCAGCGGTATCGATGACCCGGGCCAACGACCCCACTGAGGTTAAATAGCTGAGTTTCCCTGCCAGTCAGTCAGAACTGAAGAAGTCTGTGTATGAGGGACGAAACGTCTTCCAGTATCTTCAACCAAGTCCAGTTGCCCTTGACTGTAACCTTCGTTGGATAAACATGCGAATGAACAAAAGACTAAATTCAGCTACAAAACCCTAAACATGACAAAATCAAATAAAGCATACAGAACACAAAACCAAACCTATGAAAACAGACAGGAAAAACAGGAACCCAAAACCACATTCCAACAACAATTGTTCTGTGTGATGGAACTGTACATTTTGGAGTGGCCTTTTATTGTGGCCAGCCTGAGGCCTTTTATTGTGGCCAGCCTAAGGCACACCTGCGCAGTCCCCATGCTGTCTGATCAGCATCTTGATATGCCACACCTGTGAGGTGGATGGATTATCTCAGCAAAGGAGAAGTGCTCACTAACACAGATTTTGATAGATTTGTGAACAATATATGAGAGAAATAGGCCTTTTGTGTACATAGAGAAAGTCTGCATTTATAATTTTGTTCAGTGTACATAGGCTACATCGGTCTACTTAACCAGCCAATGAAGCTGCTCACTGTGGAGTGATGGTTAAAATCTGATTGGCGTGATATATTAATCAACCAGTTTAGATGCTATTATGCAGCAGCGCCGTTATTGTACATGAGACACCTGTAGTTACTGGTGGTAACAACAGATGTCTTTTAATAGCACAGGGCACAGAGGTCTTTGGCAGCTAAACAGACTATTGTGGGGCAGTTATTGGTATTTTCCATGTGAGCAGTCATGATCTGACTTTATGCTGCACACAACATGAGTCTGCAAACAGCGAAAGTGAAAGGAGTTGGTTACCTGGCTGAGAAGGTGGAGGTGTGCAGCTCTTTATCTAACAGCTCACTCTACTGCTCTTGAATTTTACATTACTCACTGCAATATGTAGGAAATGACGGCTGTCTTATCGTGTAGACTTATTTTTGATGAATGGGAGCAGTCAGTGCTGATCTGAACAGATTGCATTTCCTGTGACTACTTCAAAATAAAAGTCAACTTTTGTTTTTCCAGTTAAATGCTTTTAATGTGAAGCTGCAGCAGCAGGAAATGTTCAGTTTGCATTAGCAGTAACTTAATACAGCGTTTTTCCCATCTTACATACACTGCATCATAAAGCTGTTCTCTTGCACTTGAAGCCAAAGTGGTTGCGAGTTTTTCCTTGTACTTTTTTTTTACTCAGTAACGGACGTGATTTAAAATGTAGCAAAGTATTGTACTTTAAACAGCACATACCTAAGTACAAGTAAAATTACAAATTTAAATAACTAGGTTAAAAAGTACAAAAAAAACACTCAATTACAGTAACATGAGTAATTGTAATTTGTTACTTTCCACATCCGGGCTGCAATATGTATAGAAGTGACTGCCAGGGTTCAGACTCACACTAGGCCATGGCAGCACATCACCCAATCCTCATTCGGCTTCACTAGTTCTCAAAGTGAGGACCCTCACTATAATTCCATCCATAAGTAACACAATTACTATTTTGGTCATTGGTTTCATACACTTTCTGTAATAAAACATCGACCAATCTAAACAAGCACTAAATAAAAGAAACTCATTTGCATTTACATCAAAATGATGGCAAAACCCTTCTGGACTGGAACCATTTTGACAGGAACTTCCGTATCTCTTTAGACTGAACCCCGTAAATAATAGGGTTGAGGTTGGCAGGGATGATATTAAACAGAATGGCAGAGACTTTTCTGTAGCCAGAGTACTGAGGAAAGCGATGCAGGACGATGATGAGCATCCCACATAATAACATAATTAGATATACAAAGAGGTGAGTGCTGCAGGTCTTCAAGGCTTTACTGTTCAAAGACTTGCTCTTACTGGTCAGACAGACTACTGTAATCTTAGCATAGGTGAGAACAATGCTGCCTATTGAACCTGTGAACAGGACCACAGTGAAAGTGAGGCCATAGATGTTATTAATAGACACATCTTCACAGGACAGTTTAAACAGTGAGGCATTGTCACAGAAAGGGTTAGTGATCAGAGTCCTGCATCGGTTCAGCCGTATGGTCAGACCGAGAAGAATCCCGACCAGAACAAAGGCCACACCCCAGGCAGAAACTGTCAGCTTGATCAACATCTTGTTGGTCATTATGGCAGCATAGCGCAGGGGATAGCAGATGGCCACATATCTGTCAAAGGCCATAATCATGAGCACAGTGTGGGAAGTGGTAGCGAACATGTGTGTGGTGAAAGCTTGGACCACACACTCATAATAACTGATGAGCCGCTCAGAGGGAGGCCTCAAGATATCTGCAAGCATACGGGGCACCATGATGGAATTTCCAACAATGTCGTTCACTGGCAGGTTGCAAAAAAGGAAATACATAGGCTGGTGAAGGTTTTTGTCCATGAAAACCAGGACCATAATGCCTACATTGGCTAGTATAATAATTAGGTAGGAGAAAAAGAAAAAGAAAAAGACAGGGTACGTGGAAACTTCTGCGACTTGTAATCCCTCCAGCTGGAGGGTAAGGCTGTTGTAGGTGTAGTTTTCCATCAACCTGAAACAAAAGAAACAAAAGCTGAGTTGTTAATTGCATTAGGTCTTTCTTATCAAGATATCATGACCAATTATATGTTATATCATGATCGTTTCTGCAAATGTAAATGTATTGATTTAACTACAGAAGGCAGTTCATGAAAAAGATTTCAGAAATCATTAGAAACAGAAAGACTGGTTGTTGCAAAAAAAAAAAGGCACACTTGGAATATACTGTAGATAAATAAACTGTATTAATAGAGCAAATCAAAACAAAGTACAAAGTGCTTCACAGAGAGAAATATATAATAAAATACCACAGTGAATGATAAAATACACGAGAGGCAAAATAAAAAAGATAAAATCAGCATATGCTTTCCGACAATAATCAATAATATCTTAGAAATAGTTTAGTTAGGAAATAATTAAAGCCTTTAAATATTACCTATTTATTTCCCTTGCTGTGCCCTCACCAGCCATCAAAAACCCACCAGCCAACCTTCAGCCAAAAGACCATAAGCTCTGTCTCTGATATAGAGGTTTAGTCATGGCTGATGAAAGTTGTTATGATGGTAGCCATAGCAACTGTGAACAGACAGGCAGAACGTTAGGCAGCACTGCTTGACTTACTGAAGGTTGGGAGTGATTGTAGTTGAGTAAGGGCTTGTGTCCACAGCGTTTATTTCTGGCATGCACAGCTATCAACAAGCTTCTCACCTAAAGTCTACACTAAAGTCTTCCCACTGTTCCACTGAGTTAGAAGTGAAAATATTCTGGCTCTTTTGGGTAAAAGAGGTTGTTGTCATGGCGCCGGTTAGCTTAACACTATAGAGACAGCGCCCCATGTACAAAGGCCGAGCCCTTGCCGCAGTGTCCCGGGTACGAGTCCGACCCGCGAACCTTTGCTGCACGTTGTGCCCTTTGTCTGTCTCTCATATGTCCTGGCGAAAAGCCCCAAAAACATCTATTTCTTCATCTAAAAGTACTCAAAATTTGAAATGGTTGCCTCAAAAAAAATGCTTCTGAGCAGCAGCTCAGGCTAATTTGGTGCCAGTGTAGGGCATTAATTGTCGTGGGTGCAAAGGAAAATTTGTATCTGTTAGTTTTTATCCTGGGGAGTCTGTATCTTTGCCCAGAGGGGAGAAGAACAAATTCCTTCAAAAGAGGCTGGTCAGAGCGGGCTGTGATAGGCCGAGCCTTACATATAACTAGTTTTTTACAGATGTCTGCCACGGAAAGCTCTTGAGTGCCAGTTATTGTGCTGGCTACCTTAACAATGTTGGTCAGTTTATTCAATTAAAGATTTATAAAATAGAGTCATCAGAGTTTTGTCCACATTAAAGGTGTTCAGTCTGCACAGAAAGTGAAGCCTTTGAAGACCCTTCTTGTAGACAGCAAAAGTGTTAAGACACATATATCTACATGCGTACCTACGCTACGTCCGTCATGTAGCCATGCATTTATACTTGTCCGTCATTCTGCAATTCAAACCCGCAAACACTAGTCAGCAGCAGCGCTGCAGCGTCCACTGTGGTGACTTTTGCCGGCTGAGCAGGCTAACTTCCGGTTTAGCGTTCCGCTAACGTGAATGAGGGTAAAATTGTAAACATGCAAAAGGTGTAGCCTTTTAAAATGTTACCAACCGAATGGATCACATTCTGATAACAAAATTAGTCATTTCGCTCAGGTTGCGATGGTCAAATATATCGATTCACTGTGTTAGAGCTGCCGTTTCAAAGCGCGAGGTACTTCCGGTCGGCTCGGAGGTGTTGCGAGGCTCCCCAGCCGACCAATCACAGAGCTTATGGTCCGCGTCGACTCGACGTTTAGTTACATTTTGGAGGAGGTGCACGTCAGGCTACGGCGTAGCCTCTGCGTAGTAGCGTAATAAATTGCACTTTAAGGTCAACGTTTTCGTCAATAACTGTTCCTAGGTACTTGTAACACTCCACTGTCTCAATAGGTGAGCCCTTGATTATTGTTTGAGAGGTTGAGTGGGGAGTTTTCCTGATTTCTGTGGCCATGTTTTTAGTTTTAAAAAGTGGTGGTCACAACATTCAACAAAGTGGTTCAAAACTCACCCATGGTCGACCTTGAACTTCACAAGAAACCTGCTTTGGCAATTACATGTTGCTTTGTTCACTGCAGTGTTAGCAGAGTACTTGAAGTATGTGGTAATGGGTGAAGGGTTGCTGCAATCATTTGTTGCAGCAACCCTTGAGACGGTGTTCCTGTTGAATGGCCAGGAGGCCAGAGACAGAGCCTCGGGTGACCCGGTCATTTATAGGACTGTATATGGGGGCATGACCTCGAGGTAAAGCACAGTTTTTAGAGAAGGTTGAAAGATCTTGTGCTTGTGATGAAAGATTTTTGCCGCTGGATGTGAAACTACAGTTTCGTGCTCATGCGGCATCTCACATAGTGGAAACAGAAAAGGAACTTGGTTTGGATCAAGAACAGAAGTCAGATGTTGTTGAATGAAAGCTGCTTTAGTGTGGTCTGAGCCATGAGGCCTCCCATGCTAATGTCATGGAAATATGACCTCACTGTTTCACCACCACTTTGTTTGTTTGCTGTTGTTACAGCGACAATTTGTTAATTAGTACCATTAGCCGAAGGAACTCTGCAGGGATCCTTCAGCTAACACCGACCTCCCACCCCAACAACTGAATCAACAAGCTCCTGCTTCTTTGAAAAGGAAAGTTTGGCCCCAGAGGGTTTTAGGCAACATCAACACTCAAAAGATCATACAACTTTTTTATTGTGACTTTTCTTAAGATTTTGTGCACACCACAGCTTAATGATTTTTTACACCATTGAATGACACAATAGTTGAAGTTGCATTTGTATTAAGCGTTATAGACTTTCTTCTAACCTCTTTCCCTTCAGTTTATGTTGTAATAATTCTGGATCTTTCTGCATTCTCACTCTCTGCCAAATTAAAATTATGTTTAATCAAAGTTCACTATACTAATACTTAATGGAAACTTGGTGGTGACACAAGCTACAGAGTGCGGGGGGGGGGGAAGTTCCCTTATCTGTTTTTATAAAGAAAACTTTGGCTAAACAAAAAGCCTCCCATCAGTGCTGAGCAGAGTGATAAGTGATGGTTCCAGTTTGTTCACAGGAAGTGAGCCCAGTCCAAACTGAAGAGGTGCAAATCAATCCATTACTCCAGCCCAGTATCCCTTGGAAATACATTCATGCTGGACATTTCCGCAAACGTGTCCTTTGTGTAGTGAAGGACTGGAGGTCAGGGTGGTGGGTGAAGCATGATTTTAATAAACGGGGCCCCATGTGCACAGTGACATGTGAAAGGCCGTGCTGCCATATGTGTGTATTGCGGTACTTGTGTCGTTAGCGGGCTGTAGTGAGTGTCCTGGAGGCCTCTGAGCTCCCAGGTGTCTCAGTGACCAGCAGGTTAATAGAATTAAAAGCTGCAATGAGGCGTTCAGGGAGCAACGGACAGCTGCTCCTCCTCTGCGGAGAAACTCCAGCCTGCAGACCGGCCTTCTGTCTTTAATCTGACATTCACTCCATCGTATCTCCTTCGCATTCTCTGAACTTGCGGCAGTGTGTGTTTGTGACACACAATTGTGTCACACTGATTTATTTTTGGTGTTTCTTACACATGCGTATTTTCTGCATCATCTCTGTGTGTACAGCAGCAGAGAAACAGTTTGTCCAGGACGTGTTTAGTTTAGCTTCATCTAAAGAATACCTGTCAGTTCAGACCTCGGCTATCTGTTATCGTCTCGCCTGACTTTACATTAGACAGAAAGCGCCTACATATTACCCTGTCAATTTGTGGCTTTGGGTAAAATGTTTTAAAATCCTTTGGATTCATTTCCCTCAGGGTGAACTGTAATAACTTATCCTGATCCTCAACATGTTAATGTGTCCAGCACATTGCTTTATGGCCTGCAGAACTTCTGACATTCCCATCAGCCTCAGATGTACTTTGTGTTGTTAATTAGCAAATGTAAGCATTCTGAAATGTAAATGAACATGTGGATGAACATTTTACCTGCCAACCACTGGCATGTTAGCATTGTCACTGTTATTCTTAGAGGCGGTTTAAATAATCCCACTGGTCTTTTAGTGATTTGTATCAGACTGACTTGTTTGTAACTCTTTTTCACTCTAAGATGATGATAGAAAATCAACAGCTACAGTTTTTGCTGTAACTGGGGTCCCTGTAGATCCCAGGAGCTTTCATTAACGCAGCGTGTAATCAGTGTTATCCTCTGAGCTCTGATTAACATCTATCACTGGGCCTCTCTCTTTGCTCCCGGAGGGCTAATTACCATCAGAAACTGTTGATAAATGTTTTGTTAGGAAGCAGCTCACAGTGGACCTCATTAATGGTCGCCTTTGTTTCAGAAACATGAACACTCGCTACTGGCTGCTGTGGCAACTGGAACACACAGTGATGAAACTGACTGAGTTCCCCGAGCTCCCAACATGCAACAGCTGAAACAAACTTTGAGTTTCTAACCACAAACAAACACAATGAGCTCCTTCAGGGTCTATGCTGAATAAATATGGAGAACTTGCACAAGTTTTATTCTACTTTTCACAAGTAACTTTAACATTTTGTGTGTATATTTTTTCCCAGACCTTAAAGGTTCAGAATAAGTTCAGTATTTTTCAGCCTGGATGATCTTCTTCTTCTGTGACACAATAATGGTAATGGTCAGGCACCATCTTATCTTAAAGAGCTCATAGTACCTTACTACCCCACCAGAGCACTGCGCTCCCAGAATGCAGGGTTACTTGTGGTTCCTAGAGTCTCCAAAAGTAGACTAGGAGCCAGAGCGTTCAGCTATCAAGCTCCTCTCCTGTGGAACCAGGTTCCAGTTTGGGTTCAGGAGGCAGACACCATCTCCACATTTAAGAGTAGGCTTAAGACTTTCCTCTTTGATAAAGCTTATAGTTAGGGCTGGCTCAGGTGAGTCCTGAACCATCCCTTAGTTATGCTGCTATAGGCCTAGACTGCCGGGGGATTTCCCATGATGCACTGAGCTCCTCTCTCCTCTACTTTCTCTCCCTCTGTATGCAACCTCATCCCATTATTGCATGTTACTAACACAACTTCTCCCCTTTCTGGTAGTCTTGTGCTTTCTCGTCCCTCTCCTCTCTCCTCCTCCTATCACTTCCTGCAGGTTTTCTGGCTCTGGAGCTGTGGAGTCTGGATCTGTGGTTGCGGGTCACCTGCTGCCCCCGTGTTCCTGCTCGACACCCTCTGCTGCAACGACTATTGTTGCTGGTCCTATTGTTATTATAAACACTACTGTAAATATCTGTACCAACAAACAAAACGTGTTCTGGTAACACAGCGTTACTTGGACTGATAACTGTAATAAATGGAAATAGTTATCCCTTGTATTAATATTACAGTAATTGCCCAACACTGGTAGCGAAACAGAGCTTCAACGTAATCCTTCCATTAAAGTACGTTCACTAAAGAGCTTGTTTTTGCCGCTGATTTTAAAAGTGTCTGACAACATGATGGGAAGGATCCCTACAGAGAGAGAGCTTTTTTTAAAGAGTTAGATCCTTTGGGTTTCACCAGAAACAGTCTCTATATCGCTCTCGTTAAATTTTACTTTGCAGAACACGGGAGTTACTCGTCCACCGCTGCCTCGGTCAGTTAGATTGTTTGTGTAATTGTGTGAAGGAAGTCGCATACCAAACTGAACGTCCAGCGGTTCCGGTGACACCTCCGTCTTCCTGTGAAGTTTTTAAACAAACAAGTAGATGAGGAGGTGAAGCAGGATGTTTTATCAGCAGGATTACTGCGGTATCTGAATCACTTACATCTAAACATCAGAACAGCAGTTTTCAGTCCGTGCTGCACATTTGAGGGCGTTCTGGTTTTCACTCAGCAGTTTTCAGACGTCTCAGCAGATGTGGTTAAAGTATTTTCAGTCAGTAAAAACCTCCCATTTGTTTTCGTTGTCGAGGTACTCCGGGAGATTTTGGGAACTGTTGTAAACAGCAGAAACACCCTCAGCTTTTTATTCTGAACAGCCACTAAATCTTCTGGTTTCTCCTTCATGTTGAACATGGGTCATGTTTTGGTTGACATAAACAGCAAACCATCAATTACTCTGCATCCTCTCTGTGGGTATCAATACAGGAACAAGCTGATTTGCTGCTGGGGATGTCTTTACCTCAGCAGATGACATCTGGAAACAACACCAGGGTACAGATGTGAGTCAAACACTTGATCATGTATGTACAAAAACATCGGAATTCTTTACAATCATAATTTCTCCTGCACCAGTGAAGCTGGAATTCATTTTATTTCTGTCTGTTTGGCAAAATGTCTCAAACATTCACTGATGATCTGAGAGTTTCACAGATCTTAGATGACTTTTTTAGCCAGAACTTTTTTAGTGCCATATTCACACCCAGTGGGACAGTCTGAAGCATCCAACAGTTCTTCTTTTACCACTGATGTTTCCTGGGAGGAGTCCGGCCCTGTTTCACAGTAACAGCAGATCTTAGAAGTTAAATTCTCGCTCTAGTCAGAAAAGAGTTTTACTTCCTGTTCCTTCTCTGTGACCTTTGAGCGTTTCCGTGCAGAATGATGTGTGCAGAGTTTGTGTTCACATTCATCTGCTGAAGGGGGAAAGTTGCTCAGTTTCACATCTGGACTTACATGCAGGACTTCACTAGTTTTGATGTGGAAACCTGAAGTCTCCAAGTCACAAACACGCTGAAAATGGAATTTACATTGAAAGAAGAAAGTATCTTGTGTCCCGCAGTTAAAGATTGGGTCACAATTGTTCACATCTTTCTTGAAACTACAGATTTCAGTGGTCCATCTGAACATCAGTTGCTTGCTGTAAGCTCCTCCTGTTCATACTGGAGATTACTTCCAGTGTTTTCACTGTAAGTGATAGAAAATGTATTTAAATGTTTATCTGAAGCTCATATGAAGCTTTAGGTATCCAAAATAGACAAGTCAAGTGCATATCTTCCAGAGTGGGAGTATAAACTTCCTATTGTGAACTACTACTACTGTGTGAACTGCTGAATGTACTTAGTTACTTTCCACCGCTGATCATCAGTTATCTTATAGATATGGAGAAAAACATGACATATGTGACTTAAAGTAATATTGGGCTCCAGCAGGTTAAAAGGTCTTTTAAAGCTTTGGGCCTTTCTTTGGATTTGTGCCGGAAAACTATTTAAAGCTTCGGGGCTTGAAAGGCAGCAAACACAGGGACATGTGGTGACTAACTGCAGAGGAAGCTCTACAGCTCTCTGATTTTTATGTTTTAGTCTCAACTGTGCATTAAAGTCAAATAAGCCTGCGTGTTACTATTGAATCTTTTATTGTGCAATATGTTACAGTTAAATAATTAATAACTGCATTATCCAAAAAGCCTAGACATAACAGTGAAATAATATTGTACCTTCTGGGACTTCATGCATGTTTACTCTTCATGTAACAAGTCTCGTGATTGAAAAGTAAAATTCATTACATTAGCTCGTCACTTTTGTTCCATTATTACTTGGTCCCAGGTGGAAATGTTTGCCCCCATTGTTTGAGAGTCTCCCCTCTGGCAGGAGGCCGCGGTCCCGCAGGACAAAATCCTCACACCACATGAACAGCTTCTTCCCATCTGCAGCTGGCCACATCAACAAGGGCCGGGACCCCCACTGACACTGACTCTCCTGCACTCCCCTTCTCCCCCTGCAAGGGTTTGAACAATGCATGTAAATAAGTGCCACATTGCACATAGTGCCTTTTATTCTTTTATAACTTGTACATCTTGTTTAATTCTTATATTCATATTCATATGTAAATAGGTTTATGTCTGGCACCATGTCACAAAACTACTTGCTGATAAAGCTGATTCTGATTCTGATGTTCTGATACTTGTGATTGTCTTTTTCTAGTGAACATCTCCATGTTATTATTCTCCTCTCTTCTTCTCCCACTAATCCCAGAGTTAACTGTAAAACTTTGCTTGGGGCTTCACAACGTGCTGAAACAGTGACTTCACAGGGAACGAGCTTCAGCATCACCCGCCCAGCTCTGGTTAAAGAGCATTTGATTGACTCTGGCTCTCCCTGCTGGTCACACGGCTGCACAGCAGTGGTGTGGATATCAGACACACTTTCCACTTTTTAGTTTTGAGCATATTTCCACAAAAGTCAGCATATAAGATGAAAAGTGTGTGTTTTCCATCAGCTGCCGTCATGTGATGATACAAGAGACATTAACTCCGTTCCATCCTTATTTGGCATTTATTTGACTGATTATTAATTCATTTGTCTCTACAGCTATTTAGTTAAGTTATTTTAAAATGTTTGATGGTCCCATTTTTTCAAATGTGAGAATTTGCTGCTTTTCTTGTCAGATTTGATGTGAAATAAATTTATATAATAAATTACTATATGGTCTGAATTATCAAAACATTTGAGTATGTCACCTTGTAGGAAACTGTGATGGGCAGTTTTCACTGTTTTCTTACCCTTCATTTACCAAATGATGATCGATCAATCAGGAAAATAATCAGTAGATTTATCAGTATTGAAAATAATGGTTAGTTAAATCCCTATTATAATCATTAGTTTATTTACTTCACTGTAGAGAATAAGGACTTTATGTAACGTCTTTTTTGAGGAAGTTTGACAGAAATGCTTCATCTACAGAAGAAGAAGCCTTTTTGTATTCCACAAATGTTTTTCCTTACGGTTTCATCACTTCTTCTCTTTACAGACACACCAACCTTCTTATTTAGATCTTTTTTTAAATGTTATTCTCTGAATAAATTCTTGACCATGTGGAAACTAGTTATCTCCACGCTTAGTGTCCATCAACGTCCACAAATCTGCTTTGAACCCTCTAACTGGAGAACTTGCCTGAGAGGCTTCATGTTTTCTTCAGTATAACAGTTAACCAGTGAAAGTTGTCTGTGGCTACACCTAATTCAGCTAGTGCTAATGGACACAATTTGTCAGAACCCCTGATCCATGCTTTGTTTCATACTTGTCCCTAAAAATGAGAGTCCCTTAAGAATATGTTACCTTCCTGAAACTGCCTTTTTTTTTTTTTTTTTTAAACCTGTTCTGTTCTCAGGCTGTAAGACTATTCCTCCGCCTCACCCTCCTCCTCCCTTTTCTCTTTCTCAAACCCAAGTCCTGCCTTTAACACTAGGGTTCAAATTCCAGTTCCTCCCCCCAGCCTCTAGTGTGTAGCTTAGAGCTGGAGGTCTGACAGCTGCTGGGAGGACTGGATGGTTTAGCGAAACACCCGAAAGAATCAGAGCTGCAGCACAGTAACACTAAGAAACAGCGACACTGAAGGGACCTGCTGCTTTCACAGTGAGTCTGACTAAATCATGCTCTTCTGTCTGGGACCTTTTAACTGGGAGTAATAGGACTCATCTGCTCTGTTAGAACTGGTTTGTAAAAGCTGGAGAGCTGCTGGTTCTTTCACTTTCCAAACTAAAATCAAACAATGTATTTTTTAAATGAAGAGTGAAGTAATCAGATGTGCTGGCTCTCCTGCTCTGTTAAAGCCTGACAGTCATGCTGTTCTGGTGCATGGATGAATGGCGCTGCAGTGTTTTTTTTTGCTGGCACTACCAAATGGACACATGGAAATAACTAAGTTTACCCAAGTACTATACTTGATTACAGTTTACACTGAAGTAGTTTTACTTCCCTTGAGCATTTCCTTTTCATGCTACTTTTCAGAGAGTAAAATTGTGCATTTCATTTATAAAACTTCAACATAATACGTTCTGTTTAAAACAGAAGGAAGACAATACTTTAAAATTTTAATTGATGTATGCTGTAGCGGTAACTGCAACCGCTTGGAGCTGAATTTAAATCAGACGCGCTCTGCTGTGTAAACCACCATCACCACACTGATGCTGCAGTTGGACCTGATTCATGCAGTCCATGAGTCAGACTCATTCTGTTTCCCATAGAGACAGTTAACTGAAATCATTTGCAGACCATCCAACCAACAGAGTGACTTCCACAAGCTGCCAGTTGAAGCTTAAAATATCCAGTTTCCATAAGTATAATATAGTGAAAGAAAACAGCCATAATCATAGCTCTGAAGCTATGATACATGCTCATTTTTACTCTTTAAGCCCGGGTGTAGTTACTCTATTAAAAGCCTGGGAGTAGATACTCTTTTAAAAGCCCGGGTATATTTACTCTTTTAAAAGCCCGGGTATATTTACTCTTTTAAAATCCAGTGTATAGTTACTCTTTTAAAATCCAGGGTATAGTTAGTCTTTTAAAATCCAGGGTATAGTTACTCTTTTAAAATCCAGTGTATAGTTAGTCTTTTAAAATCCAGGGTATATTTACTCTTTTAAAATCCAGTGTATAGTTACTCTTTTAAAATCCAAGGTTTAGTTACTCTTTTAAAATCCCAGGTATATTTACTCTTAAAATCCAGGGTTTAGTTACTCTTTTAAAATCCCAGGTATATTTACTCTTTTAAAATCCAGTGTATAGTTACTCTTTTAAAATTCAGGGTATAGTTACTCTTTTAAAATCCAAGGTTTAGTTACTCTTTTAAAATCCCAGGTATAGTTACTATTTTAAAATCACAGGTATAGTTACTCTTTTAATTAATCTTTTAAATCCAGGGTATAGTTACTCTTTTAAAATTCAGGGTATTGTTACTATTTTAAAATCTCGGGTATAGTTACTCTTTTAAAATCCAGGGTATAGTTACTCTTTTAAAATCCAGGGTATAGTTACTCTTTTAAAATCCAGGGTATAGTTACTCTTTTAAAATTCAGGGTTTAGTTACTCTTTTAAAATCCAGGGTATAGTTACTCTTTTAAAATCCAGGGTATAGTTACTCTTTTAAAATCCAGGGTATAGTTACTCTTTTAAAATTCAGGGTTTAGTTACTCTTTTAAAATCCAGGGTATAGTTACTCTTTTAAAATTCAGGGTATAGTTACTCTTTTAAAATCCAGGGTATAGTTATTCTTTTAAAATTCAGGGTATAGTTAATCTTTTAAAATCCAGGGTATAGTTATTCTTTTAAAATTCAGGGTATAGTTATTCTTTTAAAATTCAGGGTATAGTTACTCTTTTAAAATCCAGGGTATAGTTATTCTTTTAAAATTCAGGGTATAGTTACTCTTTTAAAATCCAGGGTATAGTTATTCTTTTAAAATTCAGGGTATAGTTACTCTTTTAAAATTCAGGGTATATTTACTCTTTTAAAATTCAGGGTATAGTTACTCTTTTAAAATCCAGGGTATAGTTATTCTTTTAAAATTCAGGGTTTAGTTACTCTTTTAAAATCCCAGGTATATTTACTCTTAAAATCCAGGGTTTAGTTACTCTTTTAAAATCCCAGGTATATTTACTCTTTTAAAATCCAGTGTATAGTTACTCTTTTAAAATTCAGGGTATAGTTACTCTTTTAAAATCCAAGGTTTAGTTACTCTTTTAAAATCCCAGGTATAGTTACTCTTTTAAAATCTAGGTTGTAGTTACTCTTTTAAAATCCCAGGTGTAGTTACTATTTTAAAATCACAGGTATAGTTACTCTTTTAATTAATCTTTTAAATCCAGGGTATAGTTACTCTTTTAAAATTCAGGGTATTGTTACTATTTTAAAATCTCGGGTATAGTTACTCTTTTAAAATCCAGGGTATAGTTACTCTTTTAAAATCCAGGGTATAGTTACTCTTTTAAAATCCAGGGTATAGTTACTCTTTTAAAATCCAGGGTATAGTTACTCTTTTAAAATCCAGGGTTTAGTTACTCTTTTAAAATCCAGGGTATAGTTACTCTTTTAAAATCCAGGGTATAGTTACTCTTTTAAAATTCAGGGTTTAGTTACTCTTTTAAAATCCAGGGTATAGTTACTCTTTTAAAATCCAGGGTATAGTTACTCTTTTAAAATCCAGGGTATAGTTATTCTTTTAAAATTCAGGGTATAGTTAATCTTTTAAAATCCAGGGTATAGTTATTCTTTTAAAATTCAGGGTATAGTTATTCTTTTAAAATTCAGGGTATAGTTACTCTTTTAAAATCCAGGGTATAGTTATTCTTTTAAAATTCAGGGTATAGTTACTCTTTTAAAATCCAGGGTATAGTTATTCTTTTAAAATTCAGGGTATAGTTACTCTTTTAAAATTCAGGGTATATTTACTCTTTTAAAATACAGGGTATAGTTACTCTTTTAAAATCCAGGGTATAGTTATTCTTTTAAAATTCAGGGTATAGTTACTCTTTTAAAATCCAGGGTATAGTTATTCTTTTAAAATTCAGGGTATAGTTATTCTTTTAAAATTCAGGGTATAGTTACTCTTTTAAAATCCAGGGTATAGTTATTCTTTTAAAATTCAGGGTATAGTTACTCTTTTAAAATCCAGGGTATAGTTATTCTTTTAAAATTCAGGGTATAGTTACTCTTTTAAAATCCAGTGTATAGTTACTCTCTTAAAATCCAAGGTGTAGTTACTATTTTAAAAGCTGTGTGTAGTTTCTCTTTTAAAATCCTAGGTGTAGTTACTATTTTGAAAGCTGTGTGCAGTTTCTCTTTTAATATCGCAGGTGTAGTGAATCTTTTAAAGGCCCAGATATTGTCAGAGATGGGGACAGACATAATGTGCAAATGTACAGCACTTCATGTCCGTGGTAATAGCAAAGGTAGGCCTATGTCTTTCTGAAACTTTACCATTTCTTTTAACAGAATAATCACAATTGTGGCTAAATAAGTGTTTGCAGTTTATAGTGTAACCAGGCATGACATTTACGTGATTATCAATAATAGAAGCCTGTTGCTGCCAATGATTATGTGTTTGGGAGGCCCATGTCTAATATCCTTGTTTATATTTGGAAAACAGACTGTAGCTTATAATTAACATGAGTTACTGTTGAGTTATATATAAAATAAAGTCATGATCTCTTTTGCAATTATTATTACTCTACATTAATTTACTTGCTGAGTACCAACCAATCCAGTCCTTTTTACCTGTTAAAATACCTTTAAATGGCCAATGCAACCCATAATATTCAGTATTTCATTTGCAGAAAGTGATTGGAGCCTCTACTTATTGGCATTAATTTCATTAATGAGAGTTATATTTAGCAGATTATACTGTATTATAACTCACATATTACTTTTTACCTCCGGAAATACCTTTAAATTGTCAAACAACCCATAAAATGCAGTTTTCTACTCGTCAGAAAGTGATTGCAGCCTCTACTTATTGACTGAAAGGTAGCTTCTGCCCTGAAAAGTGTTGATTTCATTAATGAGATAATGGTTTGAGAGTCTGCAGGGTGTGTTGACTTACAGTAGTTAATAAGCTGTCATTAATTGCATTGCACATTACATGGTTGTGCTTTGTAAGTGAAAAACAGGTTACAGAATTCCATAAAGCTATAAAGTTTTATAAGAAGGCCTGGACTGAACGCAGCAGGTGATGCAACATTCATCGTAACCATGAGTTACTTGAGACTTAACTTGGACTCTAGCTCAGAGACTTTTGAGCATCTCTGGAAATTGTTACTCTTTTAAAATCCCGGGTATAGTTTCTCTTTTAAAATCGCTGGTGTAGTCAACCTAAGTCATACAGCATGTAACATGTATTAAATATTGTGAAAAGGTTAAAGTTTGGTCAGGTATAGGCAACAAAACTATTTTGTTAGGTTTAGGAAAAGATCTTGGGTTTTGTTAAAATAAGTACACAACGTAAGTTGGGTGAAAGTCCTGAGTTAAATTTTTTACTCCACACCACCTCCTCCTTTCACTTTGTCGCTGTTATACTACATCACCTGACTTCACAGCCTGAGAAATAACCTAAACATGGGTCAAAATAAGTTTCTGCATCGACCTATACGGCCCTTTCTCTGGTGGGGATGGGGCTGGGTGAAGGCTTGTTTAATTGGGCGAAGGTGTATGTGTTATCTTTTTTTGTGGTGAGTTCATGCAAGTTTTCATAGAGTTGTGTCATGACTTGAGGTGTGTTCGAGGTTTTGAAGCTTTTAGCTCAGTGTTGCCCTCTGTCGGCTTGTTTTGTTTGAGCTCAGAGGAGATAAACCAACACAGGATCAGAGACCGGCTTGAATTCTGTTGACTTTCCTCTGCTGATAAGAAACCTCTTCCTTCCTGTTTCCCTGAGGATTATTCCCACCTCTTTTATTTTATCTTTCTCTTCCTGTTGTTTTCTTTCTTTATCAATGTCCCTGTTACTATTGTGAAACTTGGTTCAGATGTCCATGTTCCCCTCCCCCCTGAATATTTTTTTTTCAGAGAAACCGATGCAGATGTTTTACTTAAAAAAACCAAGAACAAGCTGTTCATTTCAGACCCCACAGAAAAGATATAAATTACATTACTTTATAAAATGATCATAACCAACACTCTCAGCCAAGAAGCCTGATGAGCTCAGTCCAAACCAACCCTGCACCCATTATTTGTTTGACTGGCGTCCAGTTTAGTCATTGTTTCTCTGTCTTAAACACTCACGAAATATTTTATCTCACTCTATTTTGTTTTTGCTCCTGCAGTGATTTTACTTTTGGCATTTGTCCACCCTAAGCACATTGCACAGCAAATAGCCTTCATTATTTACTCTCCCTCTCTTTGTGTAAACATATAGCACATTCACAATTGTTCTTTATGCTCTTAGGGATTCTAGAAAACTGCACTTTTAGTATGACATGAGTGTGTGAAACCATGGATTGCAGTGTGTGCAGCATTTGTGTTCAAAATCAGGTCCTTATGCCATAAAAGTTACAACAGCAAAAACTGCGCAGACACACGATGAGATTCTAGATGTGCTAATTTGCTTTCTGCTGTTCTGACTGTAATATTACTTGTTTAGGGGGTTGTTTGTGGTATCAGCCGTTAGATATCAGTGTGGGTTTGACAAACTGTTTGTATTTTACAGGTTCTGTTCAGTTCTTCAGTCTCCCTGAAGTAAAAATTAGATCATGGTTGCCAACAACTACAACATGAACGCTGTTCCTGCAGGGTCACGACCTCTTGCCCGGCACCGGAGTCCCTTCAACAGCATCAAGGTTTGTCCCTGCTTCACATCCAGTATTTAAAGGTTCATGAGCTGAACGAAAAAGCAACTACTGCTGCATCTACTTTGTTGAGTTTTAACCTTCAACAGCAAAAAATGTAATCATCCTAATGATTTAAATCAGGCAGACAGTAGATGCTTTCTGGGAGCAGAGGACCCTGTTGTAAGAAATAAGAGATAGATAAGAGTTAGCTTTTTCTACTATAAACTTGAAAGCACTGTAATCTTTGGGACTCCAGAGGTTCAGTTGTATAGAAGCATAGTTTCATAGAAGTTTGTGTCCAGCTGAGCAGATGTCTGCATTGTCTCACTAAAGAAACTTTCCTTCCTGAAGCGCATCCTGCTATTGTTCTCTCAAATCACAATATTTCCTCTCTACAGCTCGTCTCAGATCATAGAGATTATAATTTCACTCATATCTTTGGTACTTGTTGTTGCACTTTTACTAAATTAATTTAGTTTTATGGTTAAGATTTAATGATCAGGAGTTTGTTTAAACCTGTGGCAGGTGCAGTTGGAGAAACTAGACAGACAGCTAGACTGAATGAAACAATTGGCCGTACTTGTTACAGTCCTGCAACAGCCACAAATAGCTTCATTTTCATTTTTGTGTCAAAGCATTTGATTTATTGATTGCTGTCGAGATGTAAAGAGAATTTCAACAAGCTTTAATGCAATTAAAGCAAAAAAATAATGTGGAAAAGCATCACTCCTCCTTACCCAACTTTCTGTCTTCCTTCTTCTTTTACTGACCTTCCTTCTTCTCTACCTTCTTCTTCGACTCTCTGCAGTTCTTTGTGTTTTGCCACAGTTTGCTGCAACTGGCGCAGCTGTTGGTATCGGGCTACATGAAGAGCTCCATCTCCACCATCGAGCGACGCTACGGCCTCTCCAGCCAGAAGTCGGGGCTGCTGGCTGCTTTCAACGAGGTCAGTACAGGAAGGTTTCTGCAGTTTTTTCTCGTCTCTGCTTGCTTACATCACTGCTGCTGGTTTCTTCAGATCTGCTACTTTCCCTTTATCTCAATTTTGTAAGGTGTTCTTATATTGTACATAATTTGGTGAAAAGCTCGATTCAATAATAATCAGGCTAACAGGTTATTATTCCGCCAAATAAGGAACAAGTGTAGATTATTATATGGAACAGTTCTCTCTCTGTGGTTCTAATCCCAATAGGTTTTGGAAAACAGTTATGGGCATGGAAAGTAGACCCTCCTCCCTACAGCTGCCATTGTCCCTAAACATTGATGATTTCATTGTCACAGAAAAAGGCTGTATGACAGAGCTCTTCAATCTCCTTTTCATTATATTTGGCTTTCTGTTTGACTTAACTACACCTCCCTTCCAATCCAATGTCCCCTTCTCTCTCAGTAAATCAACGTCCCCCTAGTCATCAATACCCATTACACAGTTTTACCCTCCGGCCTCAGATGCTGGATGAGCTCCTTAATCTGGACCCTAAAAAGATGGCTTAGACCATTTCTTTATCAAAGTCGCATTCCCTATCATCGCTGAGCCTATAGCTCACCTATTCAACTTGTCGTTTTATTGTGCAGAAGTTCCCAGTGCTTGGAAGACAGCGGCAGTCAGTCCTGGTTTGCCAATTACCTCATTGACCAGAGTCCAAAGTGTAAGGTCAGAACATCTGCTGTCTAAGCCCCTCACTGTCACCAAGGCAGTACCAGAAGGCTCAACACTCAATTATCCACTTATATGCAGATGATACCTTTTTATATTTAGTTGGGTCCTCCCTGGAACAGGTTCTAAGAACTCTACAACAATCTTTCCATTTTGTCCAGCAAGCTTTCTCTGCCCTTCACCTCATCCTTAATATCTCAAAAACAAAGTTAATGTAGTTTGGTATGAAAAACACTCCCACCTGGTGTAAATACCACAGTTGAAGGTGTTGAATTTGAGGAAGTACATACATAGGCCAGATTGGAGTTTCTCTACCGTAATCGGTCATCATTTACCCAGTCTGCTAAACTCACCCTGATTCAGATGACTATATTACCCATGCTAGACTTTGGTTATGCAAATTACATGTCTGCAGGCAAGGGGCTTCCCGAGCGGCTACATGTTCTTTATCACATATCTATCAGATTTGCCACCAGTGCTCCTTAAAGGACACTACTGCAATCTGTGCACCTCCATAAACTGGACATCACTTCATACTCGATGTAAGATCCACTGGTTTATAGTTATTCACAAAACTCTCTTAAGCCTAACCCCTCCGTATTTGGGATGTCAACTTCATCCTTCTTCCGTCACCTACAGCACCTGCTCCTCTAGTCACATCCGGTTACAAATCCCTACAGCTAACACATAATTAGGTCGCACTGCCTTTCAGTTTGCTGCACCCAATGATTGGAACCAACTACAAAAAACAATGAAACTCTCCACTCTCACCGCTGCCACTTTTAAAGGCAAAATCACCAACTCATTTACAGAAACCTGTAATTGCTTCATGTGATGCTATGTGTTGTTATATGTTGCTTTGCTGCTATCTCGATTGTTTTTATCATTCAATTATTGTACCATTTGTTGTCTTGTCTACTCTCTGTAGATTGTCTTATGTCTAGTCTGTTATCATGTTTTTTTATCTGTCTCATCTGGTCTCTTTGTGTCTTTGTGCCTGGTTTTTAAAGTTTGTTGTCGGGACTGTGTTGTTGCACTTCATCCTCTGTCTATTGTCTATGTTATTTTATTTAATCCCAGTAACCTTTTCCCACAGGAGGCCTTTGTCTCCTGCAAGTGTTCTCAGTTAACTTGCCTGGTAAAATAAAGGTGTAATGATGATAATAATAATAATAATAATAATAATAATAATAATAATAATAATAATAATAATAACAACACTTTTTTTTTGTATTTACTTCTGTTCAGACCAACTCTTACCACAAATCCATAGGTCTGTGTTTAAAATAAAAATACTTTCGAAGCAAAGAGTCATTTACGATGCCTCTCTCCTGTGTGTGTGTTTGTCTGTCCAGGTGGGGAACACGGTCCTCATCGTCTTTGTGAGTTTCCTCGGGAGTCGAGTCCACCGGCCGCGGTTCATCGGAGGCGGAGCTCTGCTGGCCTGTCTGGCCTCACTTCTGATGGCGATGCCGCACTTCCTGAGCGGACAGTACGAGTACACTGACCGCATCAGCTGTGAGATCAAACACAAACTTGTCTAATTGTCCCCTTTCAGCATCAAGCCAACCCACTACTGAGAGGATTTCTTCTCAACAATGTTTCTAAACTTCTCAACAGCTATCGGATAGATTTTCATTAAATTAGCTTCAGAAATTCATGTTCCCCATATAAAAATTCTAATAACTTTGGTGGTCCTCATTCATCTTTTGTATGCACTTCAGATCATGTCAGGATACCTCAAAATCTAACGACTGAATTCCTGTCTTTTCAACAACAGCCTCCATTGATAACAGCACTGGACTCTGCCAATCAGAGAGAACGCTTAACACCTCATTATCCAATCAGAGCTGCAGCCTGCAGGAGAGCCCCGCCCAGCAGGTGGTGTACCCTCTGCTGCTGCTGGGTCAGCTGCTGCTGGGTATCGGAGCCGTCCCTATCCAGCCCTTCGGCATCTCTTACATCGATGACTACGCCAGCAAGAAGAACTCACCGCTCTACCTTGGTATGCCTGCTGAGGGAAAAGTGAATCATATTTTATCTAAACGCTCCAGTCCTGATTAGTGATTACATGGTTTGCACTAGGATATGGGTTCTAGTAAAAATAAATGATTTATAGAATATATCCCATAAAAAGGGAAAAGGAGGCCCATTTTTGCACAATTTCCATGCAAAATGAACGTAAGCAGAGTATTACCTACCGTGTCTTGGGGGGATGGGATAGTTATCCAGTCTCAAAAAAGCTAAACGTAAATGCAACCAAAAAACATTCAAGACGGATTCAAAACTCATGCGACGTCTGGAGGCAGTCTGCCTCTCCAAGGAGCCCGGTCTATAGCCTACCGACCCTTTGAGAAAACCCAACAAAGCGTCTGTATTTGATGCACAAGGTACCCTTCAGTGTCAGTGTGAGACACCCTGGGCCTTCAAGTAACTCTGCCGTCTGCCACCACGTAATGTACTTATTTCAACCTAAAACACAAGCTTTCTATACCTTGAGGCATTTCATTCAGATGCTGAAGAGCACATATTAAAAAGGCGATAATGGGAGCTGAAGTTAAACTCAAATAAAACGCAATAAAATAACCGCCACTGACAGGAAAATAGTGATAGTAATAACAGTTCCTAAGTCAATGTCCCTTTCCTAACTTAAGATAGGAAAAGTGTATTACACAAGCATCCTAACTTAAATAAACTCCCTTAACTAACTTTAGGATAACCATTAAGCTGTACTAACTTTAACTTGTCCACTATTTGCTAAATGTTTCCATATGGCTCCTCTTTTTGCAACAGGTAGAACTTCAATCATTGAGAGGCTTATGACACTTGCGGTTTGGTGACAAACACTTGTTAGTAGAAAGCTGTAGACTATGTAACACAAGATAATGTTTCATGACTATGTAACATAATGTAAAGGCTATTTGTAACAAAAGTATCCTAATGCAAGTCTATGATAGGAGATCGGTAAAGACAAGAAAACTATGAAAAACATGACAACGTTAGCCTGCAGCCTTTATTACCATCATCATTCACTTTCCACAGGGGACACACAGTACAGGTTTCTGCCCGGGGGCGGTGACGGGGCCACCACTGGTTTTCTTCTGCTATTTAGATGCAAGAGCTGGATTTCTCAACAGATGTTATCATAACTCATTTGTTTTGAAGTTCAGTGTCTGTTGTTGTTTTTGCTCCAGTTGTTTCAGTATGTTGTAATTAGTTTAGTTCAGCGAGAGAAGAAGAAGTAGCATCAGGTAACAGACAAAAAAGTTGATACACGATGTTGGATTGAGTATTTAGGATTAACCTGGGATAAGATAGGAAGATGGGGGAGAAGAGAAGATGATAATACTTTGGTCTCGCTTGTAATTTATGAATACGATTCATCCATGTGTTTGTTTTAGGATAGGACAAGTTCATCAGGATTTTATCTGAGACACTTGAGATGAAGTGCAAAGCTAACTCAAACATGGATGAGATCACTGCGGTGGTTTGCGGTATGTTTGTACTGATCCACATGGCCAAGCTGAGTTTTCCTTCCTGATGTAGGTGTGTTACTCTGTTCAGTAGATGCTAATGCTATATGACTCCCCTAAACCTTTTTTTATTAAAACAGCATTAAATCTTTGTACTTTATGCTCCTCAAACACTTCTCATCTCTTTTATCACCCTCTGCTTTACAGCTGCTGTTAAAAACTCCTTCCTGGTCATAATTACCAGTTTGAGGTTTCTGCCTCTTAAAGGAAGTTTTTCCTTGCCTCTGTCTCCTAGTGCTGCTCTTGGTGGGAACTGTTGGGCTTCTGTAAATATCATCACAGAGTACGGTCTAGACCTGCTCTTTATGAAAAGCGCTGTGAGATAACTGTTGTTGTGATTTGGCGCTATATAAATAAAATTGAATTGAATTGAATTGAAATTGAAATAGAGGTTGGTATGAATGTTATTGTTTAATTGGAAGATGGAAACTCCCCTTCAATGTGAACATTTATTATTTCATGCTACATTTTTTATGCTGGCAGGTCCACACTGTGCTCACATTACAGACGCCAGCTTTTATATTAGAAAAAGAAATGTGAGCAGCCATAATGTCATGTGATCAGTTCAATTTCAGAGCAAAGTTCAGACTCACATCAAGCTCTCATCTGATTGGACAATATGACTGACATATCTGCATGAAAGGGAGAGCAGGCTTTTCTGCATGTCTACAGGTCAATGTTGGGAATGTTGCAGCCTCCACAGAGCGTCTGCACGTCTTACATTACACCTGTTGCATCTGCTGGCTCTCTGCTCACATAACCTGTTTTTATTGGTTTCCTGGAACCAGTCTGAGGTTGAACCTAATCTGCAGAGAAAAAGTTGGAATTATGACACCAGGTCACTTTTTTATTATACAAAATACAAATATATATATATATATATATATATATATATATATATATATATATATATATATATATATATAATATAATATATACAAATATTTTGTGAGCTCTGAAAACCAAAGGATTTTCTTTTAAAAGTTTAGTCTTATTGTTTTAATACACAAAATAAATGTATTAATTATCGAATTAGGTTATGATAACAGATATTTGAGAAAGACAATTCAGCAACAAGCTTTAATTTGAAACATTTAGTCAAATCAAAGATGTTTAACAGAGAGATTTAAATCTCTTTTTACAACTCAAATCAAAACAAAATATAAAGCATGTCAGCTTCAGCCACAGATTTGCCCCCATTACTAAAATGCTCAGCAAATTGTAAATAAAAAATACAAAACAGATTTAATCTCAGATTTCTATATAATAAAACTTCGGCCATGATTGCTGTCATCTCTAAACTTCAAGTTACTAATAACATTCATTCGTTCTAACAAACATTGTGTAATTAACCCTAGCGAGCCGTGATAGCTACTGTTATACAAGCACAAGTTCAAACGAGCTAAAAATTAACTCATCAGTAACTGTGGTTTACAATGTCTGTGATAAAATCATCTGTTGTGAGGTTTCAAAACGTCCGCTTTTATGATCTTTACAGGAGAGTTTCATAACATATATATATAAATGTTGAAACACACTCAACTCAAAATGGTTGCTGTTGGGTTTAGGGCAATGCTCCGAGTTTTTTAAGCCCGGAGAAAATACATCTGCCTCTCAAATTTTCCTGCTTTGTTAAAAACTTTTAGGGGGCGCTACAACACTTCCTTCTGACGCAGTTTTTGACCACCCCTAGGTGTTTGAAAGCTATAAACTCACTGGGAGTGCTATAGAGCCAGCGTGCCAACCCCAACCACAAAAAGAGACATCAAATCAAAGTATTTACCAGTTCAGCTATGGGCATCCTAAAAGCCTCAAACATGTGTTTTAAAAAATTGCAATTTACACAGGACATCCAAAATGGCTGACTTCCAGTTGGGTAAAATCTCTAAAACGAAGCCGAAGTGTGTTCTTTATGATGACAGCAATGATCCCCCCAAATCTCAGGAAGATTTTCGCCTGTCCCGACGGGTATTCAAAGCCCCTCAAAAACGCATTCTACGGTTCATTTAACTGACTGATTTTAGAAAGGATCATATGATTTAAGGTCACCATGTGTGATGAATCATGTGACTGCACATTGTACAGATACTACTGTCACACAGTGTGGAAAAACATTAAAGATTGAAGGTGGTTCCAGCTGACAAACTACACTAAACAAACTAGACAAACATGAGGCATTTCATTTCTCTGTTTCTGTTGGTGTTCTGAGGTTTTTCTTGGTCGTGTTTTTCAGGCATCCTCCTCGCCGTGACCTCCATCGGCCCGGCGTTTGGCTTCATCACCGGCTCCTTAATGCTGCGCTTTTATGTCGACTTTGACAAGTTATCCAAAGGTGAGGAGACACACTGCACTGATGCTTCACAGCTGGTCTGAAATACGCTGTCATAACTCGAGTAAAGTCGAGCTCATTTGTAACACTTATGGAAGGGAAGGACTTCCTGCGTGTGGCAGTCACTTACTGTCCGTCTAAGTGTGACAAGTGAAAAGATGATTAGTGTAGGTCATTTCCTCAATACCAACTATAACAACAGAGCTGCTGCACTACAAAAGAAGACAGATTACTGGCAAGGTCTTAAAGCTACAAGGAAATAACATATTTATGCTGTCTCTGTCTTGCTTATGTATTGTGGCGTACAGTAGCTATGAAAGGTTTCCACTCCCTTAACCTTTTCGCACATCTGGTGTTACTTAGTTATTTGACGTGTGATTTGTGGAAACTTGGAGACTTTACATGTCAAGCCTGAGTCAAACACTGGGTCCAACAGGGTTAATATTATTATTATTACAAACTAAGTATGACAATCTCATATATTTCCACACATTGACTTCTGGTTATTCTGTGGTGAAGGAGTCTGTGCAGCATCAGAGTTCTCGATAGTCTCACGCAAAGAAACCACAGGAAAACAAAAGAGCTGAAATAAACGTGGAGGAGAGGCAGAAAGGGTCAGAAGGCTCGCAAAACGAATAAATGGCAAAATGGAAGAGATTTGTCGTCGGCGAGCCTGAAGAAGAAAATACAGGCCGATATAAAATGATTTTCATTTGTGGAGCGACACGAGAAAAGACTTTGATAATCTGAGACAATAAATCAATCATAGACTCACATCACTCAGGTGGGAAAAATGGATAGAAAACTGGGCTCAGGAGGGAAGTGACACATCGTCCAAAAGAGGAAGGAGTATGACGCCGCTAAAAGAGTCTTGATGGGAGAAAGGCATCTTATTCCAGACACCGTTTACCAGGATGCTGATTCACTGGAAACTCAAACCTACAGCAATGTAATGGAAGTGAAAGAGGAATTGGAGAGACGCCGGAGTCACCGATCATAGACGCCAAAACGGACAAAATGAAATCCCTAATGATGTTACGGCCCTGTATCTTGGTGTAATAAGAGAGGATGTGATTATTAAAAAGACTGGTGTCTGTGTTGCTGTTTGAGGCAGGTATGAAGCGATCAGAAAGACTTAAAGCTCAGCGAGTCAGTTTGGTTCAGAGGCTGCTGTGTGTTTGTTTAACAGGTTTCCTTAAAGCCAACAGTTAGCTTCACACCCTGCTGCCCTCCTTTTGTTCACGTGGGAAACAAACGTGCAGCTCTCAACCCTCAGGGTGTTCACGCTGAGTGACAACTCTGCAACAAGGTAACAATTTAAAACAACAGCTTTTCATTTTAATCGTGAGCAAACAATGCTGGCAGTAAGACTATTAACTTTTCAAACGCCAAATAACACACTCTATCAATGACAAACAGGCGTCTGATGAATCTGTTACTCAAACTGAGCTTTCTAGCTAGGAATCTGAACGATAGCTTACAGGGTCTGGGTTTGCCAGGACTTGTTGCATGAAGCTCGTAAACTCAACCTGTTCCAGTTCCCCTGTCAGACCACCTACCGATGACGTCTTTAAATAAACCGTCTCAAGACAATTTTGGAAAATTAAGTGAAATTGAAATTTGACTAAATCTTTATGGAATTATTCAAGAAGCAGTCATTCTGTGTTGACCTCTGCCCATCTCCTCAAACTCAACTGTATTTTCATCTTTTGCTGTGTATTATTGACACAGTTAAAACCCTCTTTCTGTAACTCAGGAGCTTGAAAATCAAACACAAAAGTAACGGGAGCTGTGGCTGGATTCTAACAGTATTCTTCTGTATGACCTTGCAGTCTAGTTCAGCAGCTAAAAGTCATCTTAGAAAGTTTGACATTATGCCACCCTGTGAAAGCACAAACATTCTTCTTATTGTTTTTAAGTATACTTTGCACCTGCCTCTCCCCACACTCTGACACACTCGCACACACCTACACCTCAGGTAAACACCCCGCCTCCCCCCCCCCCCCCATCTGCTCCATTTTCGCCATCAGCAGTATGTTTTATAAAGTCTGTATATTTCCACCCTGTGTGTTCAATGCCGCTTTACCTGCTCTGTGCAACTTGTAATGTAAGTTAATAGTCTACCAATTTTTTTTTACCGAGTGAAGTCTGTGCGAGAACACATGCACGTAAGACGACTGCTGCCCCCCCCCCATACATCCCGATATTTCATTGTAGACATCGTCCGATTTTTGGGAGTTCGCCCAACTCTAGTGGAGCTGCAGCAAAAACCACTTGGTTAGGTTCAGGAAAATGTCATGGTTTGGGTTAAAGTTAGTAAATTATGTAAGTCATGTGACGGTATTCAGTAATGATATTTAACTTAAGACTCAAAATAGCTCAACATTTACTTGGTTTCACACGGGACTCGAACGCCATTCTCCTGAGTGTTTGACCCCTCCGACCCCCCAGTCCTACCTCCTTATCTGGACTTTCTGCCTATTTGTAATCCATCGCCCAACTTGTTCCTTTGCTACAGCTGCTGCCACAATATACGTAAATACGGCTCGTAATAACGTGCTGCACAAACAACCTATATTGTTGTTTTTCTGGTGAGGACAGTCTCACTCAGGAATATTTCTCAGCTTTATAGACAGACTAAATAAAACTACTACTACTACTGTAACAGAAGCTCACAGCTAGCAACAACTGTTTGGATGAGGCTGTAATGTAATTCTAGGTCACAAGTCATTATAAAGCCAAGGGTCAATATGCCAAGACACTTTATCTGGATAGTGCGCCTACAGATAGTTTATAGTATTTGTACCATTTTAACTGTCTGTAGATCTTTAATAGATTGTCAGTAGATTATCTGTGGCGATTCCTAATGCCTAATCCCAGAAAATAGTTTTATTTGTGAAACAGTTGAATTACTACAACTAGTCATCTGTAGGCCGACTGTCCAAACAAAGTGTTTTAGCGGAGCATTTCATCTTGTCCGTCACTTCTGCTCATATTCTGGGATCTGTTCCAGGACTCCACGGTGGGAGAGTATGTTGATACTCAGAGAGAACGCTCCAGTTGTTTGTGCTGCTAAGATTAATGGAGCTCAACTTTCTTTAAAGGCTTGTTCAAACAAAACCCCATTTCCTTTTACCATGCTGGGTGTGGGAGGGAGGGAGGGAGGGAGGGAGGGAGGGAGGAGGTGATTGTGTAAGTGAGCTTGTGTGTGCGCAGGCAGGAGTTTTGCATGTATGTATGTATGTTTAAGAGAATGTACTTGTATATGCAAGAGTTTTTATTTAATATGATGCAAACAAATGTCAAATTTCATTATAAAGCGTGTGTGTGGATACAGGATCCAAAACCTCGACGTTGAAAGGGAGGACGTTGTTTGATCTCCTTCAAATGGCTGTTTGAGGATTAATGTTTGGTTTTAGGGTTGATGAACACAATTAGGTTTAGGTTCAGATTAGTCTCATTTCACTTTACTTGTTTGTTATTTTATTTTTAAGTTAAAATGTGTGAAAAGTTCGTCGGGGTACAGACGTTGACGACGTTGGTGGATGAGCATGCTTGAGAATCCATAACTAATTGAAGGATCATTGAGTCACTCTGCTATTCATTCTGGATGTAAACCAGGATTTTATTGCTGTTGGTGTTATGTGACTCACGGACAGTCAGCATGTTGTTTAATTGGTTGATGTTGAGCTTTTGCTGAAGATTTCCAACCAAGCAAGACCTAAAATATGTTAAGAGAAGAATGACTCATCTCCACACTGACTGGAGCAGATGCATTTATTTCTTTATAATCTTCTGTTCACAGCTTTCAAATTGTTTTTTGAAACTTTTGTCGTGCGCACACACACACAAAACAACAGCCAAATCTTTAAATTAAACCGGATTTTCAAATTATTCCATTAATTGCTTTGTCAATTGACAAAACAACATAATTATAATAAAAAAAAGAAATTTGATCTTTTTCAAATATTTACTATTTCCAGCTCCTAAATTGTGAGGATTTGCTGCTTTTTACCTGAATATTATAGTTCATAAGATTCTCACTACAAGGTTCAAGCTGGAGCTTTCGATTAGATTACATGACATTCATCAGCAGATGGAGGTTGCCAGTTATTGAGGAATTGTAGATGTTCAGATTTCTCATCACTGTTAAAGCTTAAACGCTGAGGTTCTAATATCTTTGGGATCTGACATTTAATAGACTAAAACTATTAATTAATTAACCAAGAAAACAATTAATATTGATTAATAACCTACAGCCTATTGCTCAGGCAATAAAACAGTAATGATAATTATTGCAATATTACAAATGTTCAATAAATCATCAATAAATGTTTGATTTAATTCATTTGAATCAGGAACAAATTAGCACTTTTTAAATATATATTTATATATACATTTAAATATTTATTTTTTTCTATTAAGATATTTATTTTGTTGAAGAAAAGGGACTGAAAAAAGATTTACTAATCTTACTAATTAATTGAAAACAGATTTTATCAGAATAGTTCTGAATGTTCTGCCTCAGATTTATGAAGTGATCCACTGTTTGGCTTCAAGTGTTTGTTCTGACCAGAAAGAAAAGTTTAAACCAAAGTTGACCATCTCACTCAAAAATCAGCCTTTAAAGTTAAAAGAAAAAATGTTTTGACATTTATCCTGAAAAGCATCAATCTCGAGTGCTATGAAATGCTTTTATCATGATAACATTTTTGGCCTTATCGCCCAGCCCTAAATCTGAACTAAACTTAGTGACACAATGTTGTCAGACCTGGTCAGGTGTGCCTTGGAATTTTTCAACATGTTAAAATTAAAATTAACTTATCAAGGTGAAGAGAAATGGTGTAGTTTCCAGAGAAGAAGCTTTAAAAAGCCGCCGAGCTGCTCAGCAGCAAACAGGAGCTGGTGGAGACCAAACACAGAGCTAACAGAGAGAGAACAGTGGACTCTGCCAACATAGTTCAACATGTCAAATACAAAGTGATGAAATGTTTTGTATCACAACTCTTGCCCCCAAGTGGCCAAAAACTCAGTTACTGCAGTTTTAAATGGAAACTTCACAGACTTTCCATACCAAGTGTGTTTCCAGGTGTTGGGTAGTACTACTGCATGTGTGTATAAAGTACTATGTGTCTCCAGAGGGAGCTGTGTGAAGTCTGAAAACTGTCCTCTACGGTTCCTCAGAGGGTTGTTGTAGCTTACCAAACCTCTGTAGCCTGCTCCTCATCTCTGCTGCAGATTGAGGCGCCAGGCTACATCAATATTGTTGACAGCTCAGTTGCATTGTGGGAAAAGCGATGTCAGCTAAAATGAGGAAATGTAATGTAATGCCAGGTTTTAACTGGGAAGAAGAATGTGTGGTTCTGCTGTATGAGTTTTGGTCTATGGTGAGTCTGAAAATGTTACAGGAGAGCAGTAATAAATGTGAATGCAGTAATTGATGAGCTGTACCTGTCAGAGGTTTTATATAACAGTACAAGTATTATGTATTGAGTAAAGCTGATGTTTAATGCTCTGTTGGGCAGGAGTTCATGCTGCTTGTTCCTTTTATTTTCAGTAATTAGGGCCTTGCATGCCAAGTTCTTTTGGGCTGGTACCCAACCCTGTGCCATCTAACTCTGTGAGATCTACAGTCTGAAACTCCTGGTTTGTATTAACCACAGAGGTGATTTCACAATAAAAAGTAGTATTATTAGTTGGCGTAAACATTGAGGTTGGATCAGAAAATGGTCAGAATAACAGATCCTTGTTGACTTTCAATTCAATTCCATCCATCACATTATGACAGAAACTTTAGTTCAGGACTCACATACAGCAAAAAAATCCCACACACATGAGAGTCACATAAAATGATATTAAAACTAAATTACAACATCACTAATCCCACAAATGAATAAAAAGAAGCATGTGTACCGCTGTATGAAAAAGTAGTGTCAGCCTGTTTTTCTTTGTTTAAATGGAGATTGCAGTGTGAATAAAAGAATCTTTTAAAAGTCAGGCTGTAAAAGTCAGAAAGTCGGGTTTGAGTGGGGATTTTTGTTGCATGTTTGATGATTCTGGTGAGTTTCTTCTTTTTTTCTCTGTGAGGACATTCTACCAGGATGTGATGTTGAATGTGGGAACTGACTCAAAAGTGAACTGGATGCTGAATGTCCTGTCTGATGTTAATACCTTTCAGCCTTCTCGTGAGGGACATGGGTTGTTGGGCCTTTTTTCAGACCCTGATCTGTATATTGTGTGAAGGACAGGAGGTGGTATCTGATCTCAGCCCAGGTATTTAAAGCTCTCGACGTGTTTCACTACCTGCCCCTCCAGCCTGAGGGGTGCAGAGAGGTAATGCTGCAATACAGCTCTGGAACCAGTCTACCACGGTGTCTGTCAAGCAGGCCACCAAGGCCATGTCATCAGCATACTTAAAAGTGTCGGTCCGTTGCTAATGCAGGTGGAGTTGTTTGTGTACATGAAGAAGATTTAATCTTTGTGCTGTTCCCGGTTGATAACTGTTGATAACTCTTTGACAACCTTCTTTGGCACACAGTTCTATGCATGAAATGTGTACAAGTAAAGTTAATAGATGATTGATAGACAGTCAACGTGAAAAGAGAAACTTCTTCACAGTTTTGTTGGTCCCGTAATAACAAGAGTTTAGTTTTTGTTTCATGACTGACTTGAACTTCTTTTCCCAGACCAAATCGAGTTGAACCATGAGGACCTGCGCTGGGTGGGAGCCTGGTGGCTCGGCTTCCTGGTGGCGTCCTGCCTCCTCTTCCTCGCTGCGTTGCCTTACCTCTTCTTCCCCAGAAACATGCCCAAAGAGGTGAGCAGAAAAGTCCTGTTTTTTAGTTATATTCCGCAGCCATGTCCGGTCATCAAGCCATCATTCATATGTAAATGCTATGTAATCCTATAGTCTTTTCCACTCAAAGCACTACATCTGCATTCACATTCACACACATTCATTCGGAATAGCCGCCAGGGGCAAATCGGGGTTCAGTATCTTGCCCAAGGACACTTCGACACGCAACCAGGGGGAGCCAGGGATTGAACCGCCGACCTTCCGATTAACGGCCAACCCGCTCTACCTCCTGAGCCACAGCCGCCCCTATGGTGTTCAGGTATTACACATCGTACAGGCAGGTAGTCAGGATTTGATTTCATGGGTCAAACTGTTTATTTGGATTTAGAATTAGGATCCCCATACTCTACCAGGGGTCTATATTCATATAAATTACGTGCAGTCAATAATGTACTTGCACTTCATACAGTAAGTGACTAAATTAACTTTGCATCCAACAATCAAAATGACATCAAAATCAAACGTGTACAAAACATTATGCAGTACAATGCAAGTGCATTTTGAAATAGTCTTGTTGATATCTTGAGACAACTTTTCACCTCAACAAGAAATATTATCACGTTTTAATCACACAAGATCTCGTCCCAACCCTATGAAACAATTTCCATGCTGTGACAAATTAAACCAAGGACAGGTGCTGACAAAAAATAATCAGTTGAGAAACCTTGAAATTTGATTTGTCCAAGATCCATTGGGGATACATTAGGAGACACACTGAGGGAAGATATATAGACACATTTAAACCTGCAGCACTCACTGACAGCTGTAAATCATGTGTTCAGGGCCAGCGTCATCATTTAGCAACTCTTTGAAATAGAAACTTCCTGCTGGGAAACTTCAAGCTGTATTAGTCAACTTTATGAACCTGAATGCACCATCAGTTCTGTTATCCAAGCTGTTATCAAGATATATTATATATATTATTAATCTTATGGGTTTAATTTAACACAGTGAAATTAACATGGGCTTATTATATCCATTTTTATGCGGATGATGCTGTCTTGAATACAGTTGGCGCCTCTTCAACTCAAGTTCGTAAATTATGTCTCCAGCATGACACGTTACTACTTAACTCTTTAATTATGTCTCCAGCATGACACGTTACTGCTTAACTCGCGCCAGATGAATTAATCATTGGAAGCTGTTAACTCTCTCTGCTCTTTGTGGTTTTCCTCTGGAGTGTTCATGTCATCCGGTGGCAGCAGTCTTTCGTGACGACAACTTATCTTAAACATACCAATGTGATAATGATCAGCGGAGTATAGCTGCAGTTTGCAGATGATTTTATGATGGCAGAAACAGGAGGAAGGAGGAAGGAGGGTTTTCTCTGATGTTTGGAAATGAGAGGTTTGGCTCAGCTGATTTAAAAATATCTTTCACAGGCAGAGCTAGCAGACGTGCACAATTCTGTTTTTATTTTTATGACAGAAAATGTTAGTTTGCATCAGAATGATAAAACTTTATTGATCCACAAAAGGGTGAATTCATGTGACTGCAGCACAAGAGCTGGATAAAGACATAAGGAAGCAGGTGAAGAACTTAAAGTAAAGTGACTAAAATCAGTATTTTTATATTAGCAAAGGTTAACAACGTGTGTGAAAGGTGTCGCTTGTAGTAACAAACTCAGAGAGAAATCATCAACAGCTCTGCAGCTCCTCAAAGTCTTTTAAGCTTCTTTTTGTTTTAGGGCACATTTCCTGTCTTTCCAGCAGCAGCCGCCGTACATGAGCTGATAAGTTGCAAAACCAAATGTCATTCCTGTTTCTTAGCAACAAGACGTATAAGATAAAACAGAAAACAAACAAAAAACAGAGCCAGAATAAGAAAGCTGGCAAAAATAATTAAGATTACCAGGATGCAAAATGTAAAGAATGCTCATGAACTGACCTCTTGTCACCTCAACCTCTAACAGGAATCAGCTTCAGTGGTTTTGGCTCAGTCCCCAAAACAAAGTCATAGTTCAGATGTTGTTTAACCAGTGATTGCTCAACGGAGTTCCATCAAAATTAGAACTTCCGCACTTTCAGTTTTAAACACCAAATATTTACAGATAAGTTTCCCTCTCTCAAGAAGAATGTTAAAGTTTCAGTACATCAGAGATTCATGCCGCTGATGGTTTGTCTTTGTGTGTCCTGTTGCCTCTGTATACTCGGGTTTGAACCTTTAAATATATGGAACTTGGAGTTTTTGCAGTATTCACCTTTCAGACCACACAAGCTCTACTTTTTGTGATACTTGTATTGATGCTACATGGGTATTATTTTCACAAACAAATATATATCTACTATATGTACATATACTCCTATATGTTGTATCAAGATGGGCAAAAATAAGAACTGAGACCTGGAGATGATAAAATTATTTAAATCAAAATGCAAAACAAGGCCAAAAGCTTTTGTCTTCCAGTCATCATCCTCTATCATCAGCTTCATGTATAGATGTATTGCACTTTTTTTTTTTTATCAGAATAACCAGGACTGTTGAAAATGCAGTTCGTTCTCATTCCCAGAGCGTCAAATACGTACGCTTTGTCACGTCTTTCGGCGTCTGGCATGGCACCCTTTAGCGCCATTGTTCAATGCTAAAAATAGGCTTAGTATAAACGACAGAAAAGTCCGTAAGGAGGTGGTTGGGGTGGGACAAAAAACGGAATTTCACGGGAGACTGGTATTCGTTTCTCTACAAACCAAAAATTCAACATTGATTAATTTTAGTGACATTAACGTAACTTTTGTAAGTAAGTAAGTTAAATCACTTTGGTATTTTAACCCAGACCACAACCTTGTCCCAAACCCAAAAGTAGTTCTGGTGCTTAAACTAACCAAACTGCAATGTTTCACAACATTAACCACTAGTTTTACTTTACAGTAGAAGTTTGTTGCATATTTATTCCTGCTCGCTTGACTGTGGAGCCCTACACTAATAAAAAGCAAAGCTAAAGGGTATCCAAGGAGTGAAATAGCAACACCAAAGGGTCTCTGCAAACTGTGTTGGAAACTCCTGTGTTGGAAAATAAAGATTTATTGGATGTGAATAGTCACGGTCAATGGGTTATGTACACGTGCCAAATTTAAGTTTACAAAATGCAGAACTGTGAAGGTGTGTCACAGTAAAACTGGCAGCAAAAATGAGCTCCTAACAGCCTCATACCTAATAAATAACTGATAAGGCGCAACAACAAGCATAAAGTTTTCCTCAAATCAAACCAGGTCACTAATCTTCCTGATTTCACAACACCTCAAATGTGAAAAGAGCAGCAGAAAATGTTTGTCTGAACAACAGCAGCTTCATTTACCATTAAGGAGAATGGACACAACGGCTACAACAACATGCAAGTTAAAATAGTTCATTTTGTTAATGCTGTGGCTGAAGCAAGCAGCAATGTGTTTGTGTGCAAACCTCATCAATGGCGGGAACTGATTCAGATAACTCAGCACAATAGCTATTGTCTCCAAATTCCATAAATGTTTCATTCCACTTTGTCTCTGTCTGTTTTTTTTCTTGTCCCAAAGGGGTTGAATGTGCTTTACTTGCTTTCATTTTACAAACCCATGTAATGATCCACATGGTGCCCAAACAGTGTTAAATGGACCTTGGTGAAACATGTTTGTGTTATTTGGATGGTAGAGTACTGAATCTTGTGGTTTTTAAAATCGAAAGTAAGTTTCACTCCGCTGGACTTTGGCCATGCTGATTAATTTGGCTGCTGAGTTTGTTTCCACCAGACTTATCAGATCAAATACTGGGTTGAGCAACCTGCTGGCAGGCACTTCACTTCTTTGAGACAGTTTCTCTCTAGGGTTGAGTCACTGTAACATCTAAAGCAACTTCTTTCACTCAGTTTGTAAAGGACATCTGCAGAGTTTTTAATCCCAACGTTGTGACCCAGAAAACCTAATGTTAAACATTGTCTTATCACCTTGATGCTTACTGACTTCTGCTAATTTAAAAGCAATTGGTTAGTATGTTTTGGTACATTTTTAGTATGATATAGTATCTATAATATAGTTTAAAGATGTTGTTTACAAGCATAAATACACATTTGCAGCTCTTTTAGATGCTACCAGAAGCTTTGTGGCTCAGCAGCTGTCATTGACTTTAATTTTGTCTGACAATGTTGTGATCATAAAATAATGATTTTATCTGCAGCTCGGTAGTTTGGTAACTCGTTCAGATGCAGAAAAAACTTTTGAGCTTTCAACTCCCGTGTTACATTCAGTAACGCCCAGCGTACCTGAACGGCCACCAGCTGCGCGTTTTCAGTCGTTTTAGTACAGACGGAGATCAACTCTGATACGCAGCTGCTGTGGACGGAGATCGGATTCGTTTTTAAACTAAAGCGGAGCAGAGTGGACGGGGCCTTAAATTGTTATTATTATGAGTCAGTTATCAATGTTGGCAGTGGGGATCGTCTCCTGCAGCTGGATCTGTTTTCTCCCAAAACAGGCTAGGGTTGGAATGTAGATCGACTGATAAATAAAGAGATTCACCTCCACGCTCATGGCTTTGTCTAAATATGTTGATTACTATCCACCTATTTATCTCATGTCCTCAGTCAACTTTAAAATCTAAGCATGTTTCTCAGCCTTTGTCGAACTGAGAGTGGTTTTCAAAGTGGGAGGCGGGCCAAGCTCTGCAGGCTCAGTGAATTGAAGAGAAAAGGTGTACTGTGCCACTTTCCCAGAGTCAGAAACTAATAACTGCCATATTACATAAACATATAAACGGTGATTTTGAGCTATTTTGACTTTATTGTTTATCATGATCCTATAGGTTTCCAGCACTTGAGTCAAACTAAGCAAGTAAACTAAGAGGAGACGAGAGGGCGCCTTTTTCCAAGCTTTGTCTGAGGGGGGCCCTTAGTCTCAAACTTTGAAAACCCCTGTTTTAAACTAAATAAATGCTGATGTCCCGTCTGCAACATGGCCTCCCTTTTTCCAGGACCCTTACCCTTAACACTACAATGATGCATGTCTGGATCTGCAGTGTGCTTGGTCTGCTGCACATTCACTCACGTGGCATTGGGAGGACATCATCTGAAGTATCTCACAGGGCTGTGAGTGTAAACCTCTCTAGCTTGCAGGGGCCCAGCAGACTCCCTGAAAGTAGCAGCGCCTGCAGACTGTTTTGAAACCGGAAGTAAAAAAAAAACATTCATGTGATGTTCTGCTTCCATATTTGTCCAGGACGACGCAGCCGATGTCGAGTCCAGACCGGACATTAAGCAGCAGCAGACAAACCAGCCGCAGGAAGACTCTCTCCTTCAGTTCCTCAAAAGTAAGAGCCTTCTTTTCCTCTTCTGTTTCCTGTCAGGCAGCAGCAGAGGCAGCTAATGTGCACCGACAGTGAACAGGGGTCACTGTGATTACACAAGAGCTGTTTCTTACAGCGTAGCCCCAGTGAGTTCACAGTGAGATCTGTAGATTGGCCGCTGTAAATGCCCAGGAGTGCTGGATCTAATTTGTATGAACTGAGCCTTTAAGGATAAATGTTTCCACCCATCAGACCTCATCATCTTTACTGTCTACCGTCCCTCAGGTTTTCCTCGTACCGCTCTGCGAACACTGCGGAGCCCCGTCTTCCTGCTGGTGGTTCTGGCGCAGATCAACCTGGCGGCGCTGCTGTCAGGCCTCGCCACCTTTATGGCCAAGTTCATTGAGAGACAGTTCAGCCAGACTGTCCCCTTTTCCACCATGATGATAGGTGAGAGTGCACGAGGGTTTGTGGAGATCACCCCCCCAGAGCGTGAATGAATTCATCATATGTGTTGCAGCAGGTCCAGCTGGGATCAAATCAAATGTCCTCCCGACGTCTTTCTTTCAGGAGGAGTTTGTATCCCGCTGGCAGTGCTGGGCACCGTCCTGGGTGGAGCTCTGATGCGGAGGTTCAACATTTCCGTCAGAGGTGCCAGCAAGTTGTGCACCGCTGTCATCCTGATCTGCGTGTTCTCCGCCACACCGCTGCTGCTCATTGGCTGCTCCACCCAGAAGGTCGCAGAGGTCTATCCTCACAGGTAGATACGCAGGCCTGGGGCACTAATTTCACTATTGACAGGGAAATAATTTCGCATCAGGAGATAGAACAGGCTGATCGCCACCTCCTCCAACACATTCTCCCTCCCGACTCGTCACAGACTGACGCTTGGTCGCTTTTTAACGCCTCTTTCGCATCATTTTTAGACGTTTAACGCTCCGCAGTCAAGTTAGCAACGCTTAGTAACAACAAATATGCAACGTCTGGTTACGTTTCAAAATAAAACACAAGCGTTTCGAAACAAGTCGTGAAACTTTTATTTAGGCACAAAAAATACTTGGTTATGTTAGATCATGGTTTGGGTTAAAATAACTACATTGGTCAGTTAACTTCATTTCATTTGCATAACTCCATCGGACACGGGGAGAACATGTAAACGCTACGCAGAAAGGCCGGGGTTTGAACCAGCAACCTTCTTGCTGTGCCCAACCAACAAACAAACAAAAACAATAACAAACAAACAAATAATAAAAATATAATAATAGTAAAAGACCAGCCGAATAGCAGCAATAAACAGCTGACATAGTAAGACAACTAAGAGAAAAATGAAAAAGAAACAGTCACACACACTAAATAAGCAACACAACACAGCCACGAGAGCTGGAATAATAATTAATTTAAATAAGTAACTGAAAGAAAAGCATCAGGAATAATTCTACCAGGGACAACCTACATTTGTTTGTGTCTATGTGTGAGACTGTGTGTGTCTGTGTGTGTGTGTGTACATGTGTGTTCGTATAAGCCTGTTAAAGAATGTAGTTGTTAGTGAGAGTGGGAGACGCCACGACTGTAACAGGCAGGCAAGAACCCCAGTAGCCAATAGGGGTGGGAGAAAGAAAAAGAATAAATCAATCAAAAAAAACAATGCAATATAAAATATGTCCAATCTCACCACATTATTTCCTGTACAACATTAGGGAGTCAACAATTGCACAACAAAACAGCACACCCTTGTATAGATTTGTAAAAAGGAAAAAAACACCTCTACATGTTTTCTGAACCATAAAATGAACTAAAAAGCACCTTTTACGTTCTGAGAAGGTTAGAATTTACTGTTATGGTGCTAAAAGGTGCTGTGAAAAATTAGGCTCAGCAGTGCAACCAATGCAAAAAGTCAGTCTGCAGCACTGACAAATGAAGTCGCACTTACCTTCCTACATAATTTGCACATGAGTGGCAAAAAGGTTGTAATGCTCTTTGGTCAAAAGTTCTATATCAATGTGGCCATTTACTAACAGGGAACTAATTTCACCACAAACAGAACTATTCAATTCAGCTTTATTAGCATGAATGTAAAACAACAATATTGTCAAAGCTACAAATAAATTACAAAAGAACAATTCATTTCATTAAATAAAGTAAATAAAACTGTAAAAGTGTGTGTTTGTATGCGTTAAAGAATTAAATTATATATATATATATATATATATAAAAATGAAGTAAAAATAAATATTTAAAAATAAAATAAATAATAATAAGTAATAATAAGTAAACGTGTGTGTGTTAATGGACAAAAATAAATAAATAAACAATTAAAAATCAGCATCAGATGTGAAATAAATAAAAAAACACATAAAGGAACAAGTACTAAAATAACAAACTTATATATTTATCAGTCTACTCTGAGTTTCCACTGGTTGTCCTCAGTTCACTATTATCAGGGAACTAGTTTCCCGTCAGACTGAAAATTGTTTATAGGGAAATCATTTTTCACCAGGTGCAGTCAGTCTGCAGCACAGAATGAACTTGTAGTTCTTGTTTTTTGTTCCTGGGGGCCCTTCTCCCGGCATTTGAGTGAAACTGAGCTGAACTGAACAAAACATTTGTTCTTTACTACTTTTCTGCAACAAGAACAACGTAAACCGGCACAATGATGAATTCACTATGTGATGAACCTGCATGTCATTTTGTGCATAAAAGCAGACAACAACAGGTTAGAACTAATTTCCTACTTTAAAACATAAAAGTTCAATAGTGTGTGTGTGTGTGTGTTTTCAGGACTAGTGCGTTGTCGTGCAGAGCAGGCTGTCACTGCCCTGAGGAGGCGTTTAACCCGGTCTGTGGTTCGGACGGCGTGGAGTTCCGGTCTCCCTGCCACGCCGGCTGTAATGGAATAGAGACAGATTCCAACAACAAAACCACAGTAAGTACGTTAGCGTCATCCTGAGCTGCTGTGTTCATCATTTGGCTCCATCAGATATGAAATATAATCTGTCCTCTCTCTTCATTCGCTGCCTCCCCGACATCCACACCCTGCTCTTGAGTTTGTGTGCTTTCCAGTGTACTCCTCCAACGTCTGTTTCTGTGGAAGTGGTCATGAGTGAAAACAGAAAGCATTAATAAGGACAGTGGAACTAATGCAGAGCTCTCTCTGTAACCCTCAGTTAGTCGAGGGACTGGGAGCTGCTGGTGGAAGCTGGGGTGAAGTTCACAGTGTGCTATTTCAGATAGATCAATAGATCAATAGATAGATCGCAGAGGCTTTGTTGTGCTTCGTGTTTCTACCCTGGTTCCTGAGCTATTTTGTGTTAAACCCATAATTACATTCCACTCACTCACGCCCAGCACTAGGGGAAAGATTTGGGGTCCATTAAATCATTTGGATCTACAGTATAACTCTATAACTAGCTGCGTTTCCTGGCCTGCTGTGGGACATTCTGACAATAAGTGCAGGTCTCCATTAAACGCCTGGTCTGGTTTATATAGAAGTTCTCTGGATGTATAAAACCTCTTAAACCCCACGGGGTCGCCGCTTTAGCTGCTACTAAGCTGCTCAGATCGTTGCTGCACATCGTTAGATCGGTTAGATTCTCCGCAATTCAGTAGTTCAGTTCATTTAACAGAAACAACGAGCCCCAAAGTCTGACTCTTTATTTATAGATTTACCGGTGCATGGTAGGCATGAATGTTTAAGTAAATAATATGATAATATTACACTTCGTGGTACAAGGAGAAACATTTTGCTGCAGTGATTTGGCTTTCGGGCATTTCTCCCAGTCAGCAGGGGAGTTTCTGTCTGATTTAAGTTTCAGATTTAGGACATTCTCTGAAAATTAACCTGTAAAGTTTCTTCCTCTCACAGTTTCATTTTCACATGACTCCCAAAATTATTTCTCTATGTATCTCTATCGGATGTTACTTTTTTACATTTGATTTTAGTCTTTGAATAACTGTCCAGATGTGCAGGAAGTGACATCATGTTGGATCTAAAGCTTCACTGGTGAGGAGCTTTTTAGAGTCAGAGGAACAGTTGGTAACTGGACAGAGACCAGGATGATGTTTTCACTTTCTCTCTCTCTCCAACACGTTTCCTCTAACTGAAAGCAACTGTTTCAGTCACCACATTCAGCTTTCCTGGAAATAAATAAAAATCCCAGAGTGAAGTCTGGGTAAACCAGGAGGGAAAAAGAAAAGCAGATACTGAGAAGTGACACACGAGGAGTGTGTCACTTCTCAGTATCTGCTTTGTCACAAACCGTGACGTGAGCCGGACTTTTCACACAGCTCCTGCAGGTTCATCACAAACTTTTATTTTTAAATTCTTCATTTTATTGCTGCTTCAAAGAAACCACAGCTGAATTCTGCCTATCTAACACGAACAGAACGGCCCTCCGGTGTTTCTCATAGGATGGCCGCACACTAGAGGATAACTGGGCCCATTTCTCCCGCCCGGCAGTCGAGGCTGGTCGGAACAGGTTATCGGCTCAAATGATCCTGCAGTGTGACGGGTTTACAGACTGATGGCTGGATCAGAGGCTCCCTGATCAGGAACCCTCAGCAGCCAATGAGAGCGAGCTCAGCGAGTTCATCCACAGTTTGATCCTCTGGTTTTTGTGCGCAAAACACATCAACACTCAAGGTCGACCGGCTGACCATGTTTGTTTCTGTCTGAAGTCACGTTTGATCACATGAGATTCTGTGAGATCCCCGGAGCCGCCGCTCTGACAGCGTTTAGTATAAACTACTACCTCTCCGCTCTCACGTTTCATTATCGATTATACTTCAGATTAACCCTAACGGCAAGGCTTAACCGATTAATCAGTCAACAACATGACTTCTTCAGATTGTTTGTCCAACTTTATATCCTCAAACTTAAGGACCTGAAAACATAAAGTTTGAGCATTTTGCTTAAAAAACAATTATCTGATTATCGAAACAGCTGCAGATGAATTTTCAGCAAGTCGACTAATCGATTAATTGACTAATTGTTTCAGCTCCAGTGGATTCATAAAACCTGGGGATTAATAAAAGTAATGAAACGTTTTGTGTAAGTTGTTTCAATCTTGCTCGTCTTATTTTTCCGTTGACTTTAAAAGCATCATGCGTCTAAAATTTACAAATATTTATAAATTTGTGGTCTTGCGTATTTGTTCAGCGGTGAAACAGCAGCAACGTTCTCTCTAAACTAAAGTGTTTAAAGACATCGACCGCCGGCTCAGTATAAATGACAGCCTGTGGGGGGCGCTCTCCACGCCTGGACTCTGACCTCCTGATAATGTGTCTGTTTGTGTAGAACTACACTCAGTGTCGGTGTGTCGGCGGTCTCGGCTCCGCCTCCCCCGGGACCTGCGGCAGCGGATGCTCCCACCTCCTCCTCCCCTTCGTGGCTCTGCTCGGCCTCACCAGCTTCGTCGCCTCCTTCTCACAGACGCCCTCCTACATGATGATACTCAGGTAGGAAAGCACCAGAATAAAAGTGTATAAAATATGTAAATTAACCCTTTTATTTATTTATTTGCTCCACAAAATGTGTTCTGTCATTTTGATTTCATGACTCTGGAGATATTTCTCTTTGTAGAACACGATCAGAGTCCACCTGTGGCAAGTTGAGTTGATTGGGCGTGATTCAGAAAGCCGCACCTGTGTGGAAACGCTCTAAGTTCTTATCAGACCAAGAACCGAGCCATGAGGACCAGGGAACTCTCTCTAGACACCGAGACCATATCAGCATGACATGATCTCTGTGATCACACAGTGAGGAGCTGTGATAAAAGGCTGATGGTCAGTTTCCTCGCAGCCGAAACAGAAAGAAAAGAAACTCTTAAATGATGTGTCCGACCTGCACGCTAAAAGCACTCTGTTTACCACAAAGCACGAATGAGTAGCTGCTTACAGCTGCAACACATTAAACAAATTCCAGATGGTTGGGAAAGAGCTGCAGATTGATTTAGTGCTGTATGAAAATGAAAGGAGGGTTTTGAGATTTAGAGCTGAGGAGAGCATTTTAAGGCTCTTCATTTTGGTAGAGTTCAGACACTCTGTCAGACCCCGCCTCCCCTGACCCTGCTGTCTTACCTGTTCCTCATTTGATAATCAGCCTCCTGTTTCAGCAGCAGTCACAGTTTGTCATTTATGTTCCCAGCTGTGAGGTTAGACCAGATTTCAAATGAAACAATGAGTAATTGAGCTGTGAGGTGTGAGTCAGTCCACCTCTTTTAGATACACAGACAAGACAGCCAGATAAGAGACAGACTGAAAGTCAAGTTTCTGATGTAGAAGTACCTAAACTAAAATAATCAATAATGGAAATTATGATTAATTGCAGCTCGACTCACTGTGAAGTATTTGAGAGCAAATCTTAAATGTTTTATTTAATGGTTCTACTGTTAATCTGATGCGGATGTAACCGCCTCAAATTAAAGCTGACTTCAAACTGAAGTTCAGAGCTGACGCAACCAAACACCTCAGACGGAACAGAGGCATAAAATCATGCTGAATTAACCGTTAGCAGCTTTTCACATCAAATAAGTTGATTTTAATTCAGGTTAGAAACTCCTGGACTTCAAAAACTTTCTGCACATTTAGAATCTCTCCCAAATATCTGTGTTCTCTGACATGTCGAGAAAAAAGTCGTAATATTACGAGACAGACGTCGTTATTTAATTGGAATTCATGATATTTTTTAAGTCTACCTGTCCTGTACTACTACAGGAAGTCAGCCATTTTGATTTTGAAGTAAGCCCTTTGTGACAAATCATGTGATTTACATGACATTTTCACAGCGTGGGCCAACTTCACCTACTGCTACACAACAAATAATGAGCGGGTGTTGTCTAGCGCCACTAGGGGACACAGAATGTGCTTCTTCCGACCTCCTGCCGCTGCACATCACCCACAACATGGGCCCGCCAACGCCGCTGGCAGCTTTAATTAGATTTAGATTTCTAAGCAGATTGATGAACATTTGTGGTCGATGGACACACATGGAGAAAATAGAGAGTTTCAGAGACTTTTCTCTGGCCCTGCTAGCTGTGCTGCTTGAAGCCTTGTTCAGACCGCAGCAGCTGGAATCTTTGACCACATAAACACTCAGTATCAGTAACCAGTGCAAGCTAGAGCTGGTTTTAATCTTCTTCTTTTAAGTCCTAAGGCCTCGCATGGACTTGCACCATCGTTTACATCTGACCTGTTTACACCACACACTTGAAATCTTTAAATCAAGGTTTAAAACCTGTTTTCACCTCACAAAAGCCCGGGGCGCTGGGTGGAGCAACCCTTGAGCACCCTGAGTCTCTGAACCTGATGAATGATGTCTTCTGTGTCACACGTGTGTGTTCAGAGTTACGACTGTGACGGAGTTCTTGTTTTAAGATACCTTACAGACCTCCACGAGCTGAGTCGTTGCAACACCATGCAAACCACATAGGACCAAAATAAACCTTTACCTGCTTGTTATCATAGCAGCCGTCAGATGGATTACAGCGGGGACATATTCCTGCTGCTGCTGCTGCTGCGTTTCAACATGTCAGCAAACCAAACACACACACGGATGGATGCACATCCTCCCACTGAAAATAAACATCATCATCATTTTCATTGTGAATGTGATGTTTGTGTCCCTGCTGCAGGACGGTGGCCGTAGAGGACAAGTCTTTTGCGGTGGGAGTTCAGTACATGCTGTTCAGAGTGCTCGGTGAGTCCACTGATCTCACATCTGTGCTGCCCTGATTCTTCTGTTTCTCTTCCATCATCAGTTTAAAATGTTGAGTATGCATTAAAAATGTTGTAATAATGGGGGACTCTCATCATCATCATCATCATCATCATCATCTGTATTGTTTAGACAGATGGATATACAGTCAAAGAAATGCTCGCTCATTTTGTTGCAGCAAGTTTGTTAAACGTTAACAAAGTTAGTGAAAGTATGAGAATGTCATACTTGAAAGCCTGACTGTGGAAATGTATAATGTTACTGCTCAGCTGCGGGCAGAGTCTGCCCGGAACTTTCTGACCTTTTAGTTTCATCATCGGGATAAAAACGTTTGTACACACAGCTTGCATTCAAGTGCTGTCAGATTAATCGGAAAAATGAGTCCCTGGATGGGAAATTTAACTTGAACGCCCCCTGAAGTCACAACAATAACTCGGAAAGTCTGCAAATGTTTCGGTACACGACTTGTAGAGTTGATGTCACATTATACAGCTTGTAACCATTACTTGCTGTCTCCAGGTAGCGTGATCTAGATCTAGTCAGGTATATTTGAGCGTCACAACCAGAGATGTTCACAAGTCTCTGAGCTAGAGTCCAAGTCAAGTTTCAAGTAACTTGTGGTTATAATGAATGTTGTATCAGCTGCTGCGTTCAGTCCAGGCTGCTTATAACACTGTGTAGCTATAAGGAATACTGTAACTGTTTTTCACTTACAGAGCACAACCATGTGATGTGCAATGCAATTATTGACAGCTTATTAACTCCTGTAAGTCAACACCAACCGCAGACTCTCAAACCCAGTGTAAAGTTAACTAAATAAATCTGTAAGGTCACATGATCAACAATAAACCTGTAAGCTCTTTCTAGCCAACGGTAATAATTAACGTGATGGAAGCCAGCTGGACGGAAATGATTACGTTAATTGACCACCGCAAGTTTGGCAAGTAAACAAACGCTCATTCATCTTTTCATAACAAACGACTCTGGGAGTAAACCTCCAGTAGGTCGTAGCTGAAGCAACAAACAAGCTAACGTTAGATGGTCAATGCTGAGCTAAGAATGTTCACTAACCTCAGGTTACTAACCTGTTTGCATTCAGCGCTTCTTTGTTGTCTCGACAAGTTTTAAATCCAAAGTTTAAGATGAACGGCTCAGCAGCTGCCGGTGTTTGTTGCTACGTGATACGTAGGCAGGTTATAGGTAACGCAGGGAGGGAATAACGGCACGCTCATCAGAAGCTTCCTAAAAATAAACATTGTTCACGAGTCCCGCACCTCGAGTCCGAGTCGAGTCTGAAGTCACTGTGTGTGCGACTTAAGTTGGACTCGAGTCCTCTGGTCACAACCCGAGCAAAATGACTCATTTCACTATCAGACCATTCGGTCGGTAACATTTTAAAAGGCTACACCAGCCGCACGTTTACAATTTTACCCACATTCACGTTAGCGGAGCGCTAAACCAGAAGTTAGCCTGCTCAGCCGGCAAAAGTCACCACAGTGGACGCTGTAGCGCTGCTGCTGACTAGTGTTCGGGGGTGTAATGGCAGAGCGAAGGAGACACCTATGCAGAAGTATAAATGCAGGCTACGTGCGTAGACCAGACACAGATGTATAAATCACGAAGAACCTCTTTTAATCTCTCAGACCAAAACTAGAGTGAAAACAAAGTTAGTGGAAAAAGTCTTGTGTCAGCTGCTTACAGAAAATATCCATCTTCCTTTAATCCATCCTAAACCCGTGTGTGTGTGTGTGTGTGTGTGTGTGTGTGTGTGTTTGTGTGCAGCGTTCATGCCCGGCCCGGTGTTGTACGGCAGCGTCATCGACAAGACCTGCATCCTGTGGGGTAACAAGTGCAGCAAGCAGACTTCCTGTCTCTACTACAACCTGGACAACTTCAGACAGAGGTGAGTTGTTTGGAGATGGATTCACATCCTGACACTGACCACAGGTGGGCCGACCGTCTGTCACACCAATCAGACTCTAAACACACCGAAAGCTCCAGTCGGACAGCGGTCTGTCGTGTCTGATGCGTAACTTTTAAACTATTGGAAACTCGTTTGTACATCAGTGGTGAATCAGAAAGTACAGTATCTGTTTTAAAGACGGGTTTTTTTCTGCTTTTTGATGAACTTATCCCCATCGTTGTCCCTGGTGATTTCACGCTCCGCCAGCCGAGATGGAGACAAGCATCCAATGAGTTATAAATATATAAATGAGAGAGACTAAATGTAGATATTTTAAGTTAAATTGATCAAGTTTAAAAACAAGTGCATGCGACCGTTACATGTCCTCTAAACAGATTGGTACGCCAATCTTGAGCTTAGATTGAACTTCGTACCAGGACCAGGGGCCGTAACAGATAAGCTTCGTTCTGCACAGTCTAGCACCAGATCTTAAATTACATGTACTCTGCATGGGAGAAAACTTTGAACAGATATCAGAAGGAAACAAACCAAGAATGGCCTTGTAAATGAAAATGTACCAGTGGAGCTCTCTGCGTGTTCTAAAGAGAACTGTTCTCATTGCAAAGGTTAACTAGCAGCAGCCGTTTGCCGTTGACATTGAAGACGCTGTGTTACATCTGAGAAACATGTAGAAAACATGGTGGAGTCATAGTGACAACATGCTGAAGGAACAGCTCGTTGTGTGGTCGCGACTCTGGAAAGTCCTGGGTTTTCCTCGGTAGCCTGGACCATGACCGGCTGTATCTGTGTTTGTGTGTGTGCAGGTTTCTGGGTCTGCAGGTGGTTTTTGTGTGCGGGGGGCTGCTCTGTTTCCTGCTGACCATTGTGGTCCTGCGCAAGAGGGGCGGACTGGAGGAACCGCAGCCAGAGAGCAAAGGAGGGTACGAGCTGGTGAAGGAGCAGAAAGCACCCGAGATCGTTTCAACCAAAGAAAAAGTGCAGACCTGAAGAAACCCAACAAAGGGAAGAAGGGAAAGAAAGATGCAGAGGCTGAGGAAGGAGAAAAAAGGAAGAGTTCTGAAAGTTTGCTTACATGGACAGAAAGGAACGTGGAAGCTGCCACGCTACATAAGCCGCGAGTTACTCAGCGTGGTTCTGCTGCCCTCTGTGGAAAGAACCAGTCAGCCTGTATAATGAGGCTGACACACTTTTTGATATTGTACTTTTTTATATCCATGCTCTGCTAACATTTCCAGTGGTGGAAGTAGTAATGTAGCAATAACACAGTGTAGTAAAAAAAAAAAACGACATATGCTATTATGGGATTATTATTTTTCATGCTTTCATGTGAAAACATTTTAATTACTTTATATACTACTGGGTAGCTTCATCTATAATAATCACCATAATGCTAATCTTAATAATGACACATCACAATTTTTTGATGATAATTTGTATCAATAATCTGAATCTGCAAGTAACCAGTAACTAAATCAGTCAGACAATGTGAAAAGTACAATATGTCCCTCTGAAATGTGGTGGTGTAGAAGTATAAAGTGGTATACAATGGATATACTCAGTAGTGCAAATACCTCAACATTGCACTTAAGTAGTATTGAAGGAAATGTACTCAGTTACTTTCCCCCACTGAACATTTCCAAAGGGATAACTGGTGTTTTTGTACATAAGACGATCTATTTACTGTGACATTTATGGTGAAAATGCTGTTTTATATGATGCAGTGAGCCAAACCAACCACCTCCACTTTTAAAATGTTGAATTTGGTGCTTACACTTGATACGCTGCAGTTCCTTTGAGAAAAACCTAAGAAGATACTGGCTGAACTGAAGTGAATGAAACTCCTATGAAATGCTAGCAGCCTACATTTAGCTTCTTTATGCTTCAAATTGAGGGTTTCTGGCTCCAGCAATGAGCAAAGATGGCCTCTGGGCAACACGTTCTCACTCCCAACTCACATACTGACGCTTGGTCAGAGCCCTTTGGCGTCGCTTTTTAACGCCCTGGCTACCCCTTTAGCGTAATTTTTAGACGTTTAAGGCTCCGCGGTCGAGTTAGCAACGCTTAGCAACCACAAATATGCAACGTCCGGTTAGACTTTCAAAATAAAACGTTTCGAAACATCGCCGTTTTGTAACAGCACGTTATTAAAGTGAAACGTTGCAGTTTGGTTAGGTGTAGGCACAGAAAATACTTGGTGAAGGTTAGGAAAAGATCATGGCTTGGGTTAAAATAACTATGTAGGTCAGTTAACACTAAGTTAACTAACGTCACTTACTTATGTAGCTTTCGGTTTCACACGGGACACGAACCCCGGCCTTCTGGTTCAAAGTCGGGGTTCTGGCCCTCGATCCACCCCACCTCGTTACTCAGTCTTTTGTGTTAAATATCATATACCTGCCTTTACCGTCAAAATCTGACCCTACAGGGCTTCCCCACGGGGTTGAGCTATGATGCGATAGGGATCCCCAGTGCGTTACAAACCGACACCGATGGGTCTTGACCATGCGTCCATGTGACGAGCCGGGGAGTGAGTGGATGAATTTATCTGAGAATCATAATTACTCTGAAACTACCCTTTCAGCCAGGACATCCAATACAAATCTAAAGGTCTCTGGGTGCCTTGGTCTGGTCTGAGCCAGGTCAGGGAGACTCGACCGACCTACGACCTGCAAATTGAGAATTATGGAGGTAGTAGAGTTAGCACTGCTGCTAGCAAGCAAACCTACTAGCATGTTTCTTACCTACTGACCAATGTGCGAGTCCTTCGGTGATCTTTTAGACAACACTTACTGCGTGCTTGCAGATGTTGATTTATTTGTTTGTTACATCGGTGGTAGTCTTTTTCTGGGAGAAAGGTGCACACATTATTAAAAATACTGTGAACTGTGAAGGGTTCTCAAAATCTGAGGAAGTAGCAGTTTTGTGTGCATGAATGTTCATTATGAATATGTCGTGTTTTTGACGCAGGCATTTGTTTCTCAATCCTCGTCCCAATCATCATAATTGGTCAAAACTAAAAGAAGGTGAAAGAATAAAGCAGCAGGTTGTTTTTCTTTATGTTGTAGAGGACACTTGTGTGCTTTTTCATTGTTCTTTAGAACAAGGAGACAAGCTAACAAGGCTACCAAAAACTAGCCTACAGACACCATCGGTTGTGTCATGTGACCCCCCTAGTGGTCCGAGTCTCCCAACCAGTTGTCATCCCGGGCATCTCATATGGACGTTTGGCTTTTTAACGCCCTGGGTACAGTTTAGCGTTGTATTTGCACGTGTGGTTTAAATTAGCAAGAATAAATAAGCAACATCTGGGTAGATTTTCAAAATAAAACTTGTGGTTAACTGTGCAAAAGGTTGAAATTTGGTTATGTTTGGGAAAGGTTACGGTTCGGGTTAAAATAACAATGTTAAGTAACATAACCTATGTCACTTAAAAGGATCAATGTTGACTTTTTGTTTCACACGGGGAAAACTAACTTCAGTCTCCTTTGTTTATTATATTTTATGACATGTGATGGGATTGACTGTTTTTCAGTATTGTATGAAATTTGGTTTTCTAAAGCACCACTGGAGCAACTCAGCTGCGAAGTTCTGAAAGACACATCCTGTGCACAAAAAAGAGAACAACCAAAAAACTGTATTTTGTGGCGCTTCAGGACTCTGAAGTGTTGCCAATTGAAAATGTATTTTTATTATGAAGCATAGACCCTCTGTGTTCTACTTTTTTCTACTAAGTTTGCTAACTTGAGCCCAACTCCAATTATGGTTTTCTGTTTTCTTTATTCACTGGACTTCTTAGTCTACTGTCAGAAAATGTCTGTAGTTCTGGTTCTTTTGCTCCACCTTCTGAGAAATGATTATACATCTAAAACTGAGCCAAGAAACTTAAAGCCAGATGAGTGAATTTCAATAAATCTCTGAATACACCGATGAAGTTTTTGTGGTTTCTCCTCACGTGACAGAAAAAAACTATAAATCTAATTTCTCCAGCGTCTTTTTGCATGGGAGCAACGGTATAATGCAGCTGTTTGCAGATTCTGTTATAGACAAGACACAGAAGCTTTTGTTTTCAGGAAGCAGTTCATCTCAATGTGGAAATGCTGACAGTTGTTCTGATGTCTGTACATGACTGAAAAAACAAGCACAGAAAAAACTGACAGAGGCTGGCAGAAGAGTGACATGCAGTCTGCAAATAAGGAATATTTCTGCTTTTCAGTTTCAGCATTCTCCCATGAAGTCCTCTGTTGTTCTTTTGGCAGTTTTGAACGGTAATGTTCCCGATGTTTTCAGCCATCCTCGGTTCTTGGTCTGTGGAAGTCAGCGCCGGGCGCTGCACCACTTTCATAATTCATGTTCACCTCAGGATGAATTATGCCTGAGACTCGCACAAATTGACACTTTCCTCTCTCACTCTCTTACGCCACACATTAATTTTCTCACACAGTGAAAAACAAAGTATAACTGATAACATCGACTGGTGGCGTGAATCAACTCGCCCAGCTCATGTGAAACCGGCATACGCCATGGTAGTATACAGTATGAAGTGCACAAAAACAGGTGCCAGTACATTCAGCACAGGCCCCGAGCTTCTCTTCTCCCCCGTCTCTCTCCGCCAACAGAGATTAGCAGGCAGAGAGAACAGGAACAGGTGAGCGTCACGTAGCGCCCAGAGAAGCTGATATGGAGAGGAGAGGACCGGCAGCTTGGGAGAAGTCCCGGTACACAGGAAAATGTCACGGTACGCCAAAGAGTAAAGTGTCAAGGTGGCGGTACGGCGTACTGGGGCGTTCCAGCCCACTTCAAGCACTGTATACAAGTGGACCCACTCTGACGCTGTGAGTCGCAGACAGCTATGTAACGTAGCTGGTAGTGTTTTGCAATATATTATTGAATAAATGAACATGTTGAAGTTAAGTATAGTACATGAAGGTAAGAGGGATTCTGTATAATTGCTATAAAGACAATGAGATCAGACAAGATTCATCACCTGCCACCTGAATTTTTTGTTTCCCTTTATATAAATAAATAAAGACCATATATTGATACAAAAAAGGCACCAGAATGCATGCTCAAAATGTTAAACCCCCAGACCCTCAACTTTATATGTGTCCAAAATTTATGCTCTTTCATTTCTATCCTCAAAAAGCCCAGTTTGGACCCGGATGACCTCAACAACTACCGTCTGATCTCTAACCTTCCCTTCATAAGCAAATCCTGGAAGCGCTGCCCAACTTCATCAACACATGTCCCTCTATGATCTCTATGAACCCCTCAATCTGGCTTCAGAGCACATCACAGCACTGAGACCGCCCTCATCAAAATCACTAATGACCTCCTCATCGCCGCTGATTCTGGACATATCAGCATCCTCATTCTTCTCTCAGCAGCCTTTGACACAGTTTCCCATACCATCCTTCTCAACCGTCTATCTGAATGTGTTCAGCACTCTCCTGGTTTTAGTCATATCTCTCCAAAAGGGAACAGTTTGTCACTTTTTTTCCCACTGTTATGCTGATGACAAACCATCCACTCAGCTTCCCTCTCTGTCACTTGTTAACTGTCTGACTGAAATAAAAACCTGGATGTCATCCAATCTAATCAAGCTGAACAGCAGCAAAACAGAGCTAATGGTAGTGGCTCCCACGCCGCTGCTCCTGAGGGTAGGTGATCTACTCCTCAAAGTATTGCTCCATCTCTCCTTCCCAAGAAGTCCGCAACCTTGCTGTCATTTTGGATTCCACCCTTTCCTTCCAGTCACATGTCAAACTTATTACCAAATCTGCTTTCTACCACCTCAAAAACATCTCCAGACTTCGACCATCACTCTCAGACTCTGTGGCAGAGTCTCTCATCCACGCCTTCATCACCTCCCGTTTGGACTACTGTAATGGTGTCCTGTATGGGGTACCCAGCAACGTCCTGGACAGACTACAATATGTCCAGAACTTGGCTTCCAGGGTTCTCACACACACTAGGTCGAGGCAGCACATCACCCCAATCCTCACTCAGCTTCACTGGCTCCCGGTCAAATTCCACATCACCTACAAAATCCTACTCCTCACCTATAAATCTCTCTATGCCACTGCCCCCCAGTACCTACTGGGCCATCTCCACTCCTACTCCCCCTCACGGAACCTGCGGTCCTCCGACAAGGGCCTGCTCTCTGTCCGCCACACCAGACTGCAGACTTTTGGGGACAGAGCCTTCAGCGTCGCAGCCCCCACCCTCCGAAATGCTCCCTCTCTGGACACCTTCAAAAACCTTCTAAAAACCCACCTCTTTTAAAAAGCATTCAACCCTAAATTACTTTTTTTTTATTGTTCTGTCTCTGCAATTATGTGTAAAGACGCTATATATATATATATATTTGACTGCAGAACTTTTTAAACAAAATTCCTGAGGATTGAGGAGTGATGACCCAAACCCCTGCGGGGGTTGCTGTCTTAGAAGAACTCAGTGATACTGAATCTCACTCCAAACTAAACTGAAAGTTGGCAGCGCTGTGAGCCCACAGGGGTTAAATAGCTGGACTCCCTTCCAGTCAGTCAGAAATGAAGAACCCTCTCGGATGAGAGACAAAACATCTTCGAGTATCTTCAACCAAGCTCTGTTGTACCTGATTTCTTATGATCGTAAACAGTCAGATGACGTATTACAAGTTAAGAGCTAATTAAAATAACTGCAGTCTTCGTATAAAACATTCCTGAGCTCTGATGAGCTCTACATACAGACAAGTCCAGGCAGCACTTAAATGGTTGGTGGTAGAAAATGATGCCAACTCTGTGAAAGCTGGAGCTCAAACTCTCCTGTTTGTTGTCTGCAGGCTTAAACCATGTTGCACAACTCACTGTTTGTACCAAACATTCAAGGCCACAGATACAGCAAATCCCTCAGTGATGACGCTTCACTGCCCAGTTCTTCTTTCAGTAATCTGATGTCTGAAGTCACTCTACTGCGTATTTCTACTGCACTCTGTTGTGTTTCTTTACATATCTAACAATTAGGTGAATAGAAGTATCGGATCAGCAGATATTCCAAATCAAAGGACATCTATGAACACTATACTGTAGTTAAACACAGAAATAAACACATGTGTGTGTATATATATATATATATAGTGTGTGTGTATGTGTGGAGCCTCTAGATACGTGACAAGATCATTTAAAAAGGGTATTACTAATTAAAAGAATATGCTGAGAGGGCTCGCCGACAACGCCACCTAGGGAATGAGCCCTAGGACTCACAGACACAGGTTCTTAAAACAATTGGGGTTGGAGCAGAACAAACCACAGGAGCTAAAATAAAGGTTAACAATTTATTACAATTAAAAATGTTTATAGTTTAAAACAGCCTTGCTAAAACCCACGTGATAAAAAACAAAAGCTAAATGAAAGGGGAATATTCCGTGAGTTGGCAGCTCTCAGCACGGCAAACAGTCCCTCTAAGGATTCCTCCGTCCCACGGCCCAGCTTCTCCACGGGTCGCTCCGCCTGCTCTTCAGTCCGCGGCTGGCGTTGGTTCCTTATAAGTACTGGCGAGTAGTGCTCACGTCAGTCAACCCGCACCCTACGTCTCCGACCCCGACTCTGCAGCCCTCCCCTGCCTGGTCCCCTGTGCCGCCTAGTTGAAAATACGTAAAACTTTACTCACGGTTTCCCCGGGCGACAGTCGTACTGTTCACCCAGGCCTGAGTAAAAGCGCGTTGGCGGACACTGGCTGCTGCGTCGTCTCGGCTGCTGCGCCGGTTCCGTCCAAACAATTAGTTCCCCATAGGTCTCTCATAGCTGCCGTCCTCCTGCTCAGCGCCCAACGAGCTGGCCGACCTTCCCTACTGCTCTCTCTGCTCTTTCCTCTATCTCCTCCGGCCTCCCCGCCGTCACGCTCCTTACCGGCCTACATGCTTGTCCTCTCTCCGTCTCTCTTTTTTCTCCCGCCCTCTCTAATGGCGTTGATTCACTTAAAAAAGAGTCCTGTCCAATCTGTCGCTGGCATTCACACCTGTTGCTCATTATCACATTTGGTTGCCACAGACAGTCTTGCCAATTTCTAAAACTTAAAATCTCGTGTGGCCTTCGGATTAGCTCAAGAACAGGGCGTAGAGAGCTTCGCGGAACGGGTTTCCACGGCCGAGCAGCTGCATCCAAGCCGTACATCACCACGTGTAATGCAAAGCGTCGGATGCAGCGATGTAAAGCACGCCGGACACTAGAGCGGTGGAGACGTGTTCTCTGGAGTGACCAATCACGCTTCTCTGTCTGGCAATCCGATGGACGAGTCTGGGTTTGGCGGTTTCCAGGAGACGCTACTTGCCTGACTGCATTGTGCCAAGTGTAAAGTTTGGTGGAGGTGGGGTTATGGTGTGGTCTTGGCCCCTTAGGCCCCATCCACACTACTGCGTTTTATTTTGTCCGATCTCCGTCCACAGCAGCGTTTTAGCTGCGTATCAGAGTTGATCTCCGTCTGTACTTAAAAGACTGAAAACGCTCATCTAGTGGCCGTTCACGTACGCTGGGCGTGTGCGTGCCGGCGTAAACATGAAGCAGATGGTTCGTTCAGTAGTTACAGAAGATTTGGTGAAAGAACAAAGTACTGCAGACGAAGAACCAGATAGATAGAAAAGTAAATACGGCGACATGCACAGTACAAGTGAAGGCTGTAAGTGTTGTTTGCACGGTACAAAGTCTTTCAATAGAAATACCAAAAGTCCAAAACTCTGTCAGCAGCATCGTGTTTCTGCTTTGCAGCCAATCAGAGCGTCTGCGTCATCGTTTCTAAAGTCCTCCGTTTTTGTCCGTCCGCACTAAAACACCCTCCGGAGATTTCAAATGAAAAAACAAGATCAGCAGCGTTTTCAAACTTCTTCGTTTTAGGTCTTCGTTTTCGCCGTTTTTGTTTGGACGGGAGGAGCAAACGCAGGAAAAGGTCTCGGTT